GGAATGGCTGATCGATCCCATCGACGGTGAAGTCAGGCAGAGGACTGAGATGGAAACTGTAGGTTGTATCCTGGCCTGTTTGCGGGAGGCACATCAAGGAATTCTCTGGATGATCATTGGCAGGCGTAGACTCTATGTCCCCGAAATCCCTTCGGAGTAGACTTAAATCATTGTCCGCGAATTCGCTCTTTTCCTCTTTTTTGAAGATCAAATTTCGCAGTGAAGTTTGTCCTCCCGGAGAGCCACGGTTTGCAATAAGTTGAGAAGATCGGCTAGGCCCTGGGCGGCCGTATGGCCCTTCTGCTGTAGTTCCAGTACCTTGTTCGATCGTACTCGCTGCGTGACGTACAGATCCGGTTTGGCTTCCATCGTCATTGTAGACAATATGAGAAACTAGAGGGGAAGAGAAGCTGATCGTTACGACCCGGGCCTGATGATGAATGTCTCGGCGATGTCGTGGAGGCTTTGACAAGCGCCCTTCATGGAGTTGGATCTCGTGCTCAACTTCACTAGAAGTTTCAGTGTCTTTCTGTTCGTCCGTACCCCATGAAGTGGCTCTCGTTTCTGAATTCGGGGCGCTAGAAGTAAAGCGAGTCAACTTAGAACGAAGAGTACTACCGCTAGCCGGCGCCTCGACAACAGCTGGTTGTGAGCCAGAGCCAGACTTCGAGTCGGAGATTCTGGTACTGACAGAACTGGTGAGGTTGTCATCTCTTTGACTCAGGGGCAGGCTTTCCGTTTTGTCAGGCGAGGATAAACTGTGTACCCTCATCATTTCCTGTAGTTCATCGACGCTGAGGTCAGGAATATCCCTGAAAGGGTCCTCCTCACTATCGTCGCCCTTCGGCTTCTCTTGGGACTGTTCGTGCTTCTCTTTGACCCATTGGTGCTTGGAACGATCATAAGTAAACCCATTTACCTGTTCGGGGATCAAATGTGATACCAGATCAGAAGACAACATTCCCTTCGCATGTGAGCTGAAAGAAGAGGCTGTGGGTATTGAGCGTGAACTAAGACTTTTGGAGGAAACATGGGTGTCGATCGTCAGGGGAGGGTTCACATCTGTATTTCGTTCCTCAGTCAGAGGGTCAGAGTGTTTCCGTTTTGGGTGCTCAAGATTCTCTCCTTCATTTCGCACACGAATATCTATATCGTCACCTTTCTCCAGGTGCAAAGACATCACGGAAGCGTTGACACCAAATTCCGGGTCATCGTGTTCTTGAAATTTCTTGAGGTGGCTCAAGATCCGAGGATTAGGCTCTTTAGGCTTTCGTAATTTGCGCATATCTACGCCTTCACGACTTGGAGGGCGTGAGAATTCTTCTCGAGTTGACTCATCTTCGTAAGTCTCGGCATCGTCACCCTCCATATCAGACTCCTCGACGCTCGAGAGGCCGCCAGCCGGCTTGCCTTTCGCTCGGATTATGTCCATAATTTTCGTTGCTTCGTTCAAGAAGTCTTGTGTCGTGATCGATCCTTTTCGGATCTGTTCATTGACGCCTGTCACTCTCACCATCGGTATTTTCGCCTCCTGGGGAGACCTTGCGCCTATGCGGCCGTTTAGATCCTGATGCGACCCGTCTCTGTTAGATGAAGATCTTTTCCTCAAGGAGGACCTTGTTTGACGTGGGGTTGGGGTCCTGGGTCTCGGGGTGGATTCTGGTCGAAGAAGCGACTCCTCGTTACCATAGTCCATGCCATGTTGGATTAAGCTTCTCTGGAGTAGGGACAGGTTATCAGTCGGCTGACCATTGCCCTCCCTTACCCCGTAAGCTTCACCTCCCGAGCTATCAAGGCTGAGAATGGTTCTGCGCCTTTTCGGATTCGGATCCTTGGCTGGGGTGTCCCTTGTCCATTGGTTCTCCCAGTTGTCTAGACTGTCCCTCTGATCATTGCTGGGCTGTGGCCTCATCCTCGATGATCGGCTGGAGCTAGGCCTATGTATCTCAGAGTCGCGGTTGTAGTTTTCGAAAGCACTATGTCGAGGATGTTGGCGTCTACCAGAAAGTTTTCGGCGAGAGGAGGGGCGGAAGTTGGACTCTTCGACGTCATTATTCAAGAATTTGGGTTCATACGGGCTTGTATCGGAGAAATCGAAATGATCGAGTTCGCCATCACCAAATCGGCTAATTCTAGGCTTCATCATGTTGCGGGAGCGTGGGCGTTCTTGTCTTCTCGTGGAGCGGTCGCCAGGCGTTTCCTGCCTCACATGCAAGAAATTTCGGCTCTCTCCTTTACGTCTGGCCTCTTCGGAAGGTGAGACCGGCTCATCTTCCTCAGACAGATCGCCAAATGTTTCCTCGAACTGGCTCATTCGGCGCAGAAGCCTGTTGTTGGTAAAGGTATCATGGTTTCCAAAGAGTTTGAGAGGGCTCCCAGAAGAGGGCATGGCAATGGGATTGCCGTCACCATTGGGTGCTCTAGCGTAGGCAGAAGAAGGTCTTGGTAAAGTTGGAGGTTCTGTGGCACGAGAAATTTTGTTATAAAAGGGAGGCGAGCTGCGGATTCTTGAATTCGAGGGCAAATATGGAGAAAGACGCTGGGAGAGAAAGGAAGTTGGAGAAAATTGTCGTTGTGGAAAGAAACCGTCGTTTACATATTGCTCCCCACGCAGGTTGACAAAGGCACCGCGTCCCTGGTAGTCCAGAGTGCCAGTAGAAAGGTCCTGAGGTAAAGAATGGCTTGTGGTATCCAGTAGATCGTCTTCTGGAAGAGTGTCAAAGAGCTCACTTTGTTGATGGAGTAAGACGCTATCGCTGGCTCTAGAATCCGGGCGCTCGCGTGCACCTACAGAAAGTCTTTCAAGCTTGTTCGTCACTTGTTTCAGGGCTGACTTTATGACCTCCGACGTGGCCTGTCCTTCCACAGTGTTGACTCGCGAGAACATGATCGGCGTGATACCTTCATTGCGAAGATCCTCCAACCCACTTGCAGTGCGCATCTGCTTTTCATTCTGGGAGGCATCATGACTTTCATTGAAATCGTGTGGGTCCTTGTCAGGCGCTTTCTTGATCTCCAGAGACCCCTTTGGAGATGGTGTAGGGCTTCCGATTGGTTGTTGATTATCGCGCTGGACTGTCGCTGCTGCTTTTGGCTGCTCAGGGTCATGGCCCACAGAATCCTCGCTATTCGCTCCAGACGTCTCAATTGAAAGCTTGCTGGGCTTTCTGGTGTGTTTGCGCGTGGAGCTGTTGTTCGTAAAATCCCACATATCATCAGCTGGTTTCATCTTTGCAAAGGCATCTTTCTGATTTGTATCTGAGCCCGGTGTTGGAGGTTTAAAAACGCTTTCCAGTCCAATCGGCGCAAACAAATCTCGCTGCTCGCCAGAAGGCAACTCCCCTTGGACAAGCCGTTTCCGCCATTCAGGTGTCGTATCCTTCGCCTTTGGTTTCTTCGGCCTCACTTGAACAGTATCCTGCTGGCCGGACTGGCTAGAGACATTAGAGACAGACCGCAACGGCGACCTAGCGTCCATGGCCGGCTGTTGTTTACGCCCGGAAGGCAGACTGGGCCTGGGACTTTTCTTTGTTTTTTCCGGTACCGGTGATCTCAACTTCGACGGAGTCTTCGGCGTCCTGGGAGTTTTAGGCGTCGGAGGCTCTTTCTTGTAAAAGTGGCAGGGTCGAGTCACTTTCTTCTTTCCATCGGCGGGCGATTGTTGTTCGGCTAAGCGACGCGCGGGGATCGGAATGCGACTGGGAGAGTTCTGGATACTGGAACGGCGGGAGTGGTTGAGGGATCGAGAAGGAACGGGGCTAGTTGGACTACCTGGTGTCGAGACCCAGTCGTCTGAGAGATTGTCCAGCCATGGTGTGTTGCCCATTTTCTATAATGGTTTTGCGCTGAGCCAGCCGGGCGCGTTTCGCAATCACAAAGCTGCAGTGAATTGCACAACCGGTGATAAGCAATACAAACAAAACATTAGATGGATCCACAACAATATCAACCAATTACCACCGCGGAAGTCAAGAGAAGGGGCATATTTAAATGAATACTGAGTACGAAATTGCTCTCGAGTAATCAAAAAGTGTAGCAGTCAAGCTGTATGTTTGATTGTCAGTCCGGAGGATAATGTTATGAAAGTGGAGCCGGAACACGGTTGAGATCGATAAGTTTAAGGGTGGTCGGGGCAACCCCAGCAGGTTTTTGGCCTTGGATATTACTGCAAAGGCTCTCCTCACAGATATGAAACACCTTGGTCGAGAATCGAATTACAAGTATCCCATTTCAGTGTAGTTATGTGGTTATACGTCTCATGATCCTTCAAGAAAGGACTTGCTGGACTTCTTTCTACATAGGCGATCGACATGAGTCGGCCCATCCCCGCTTCTCGCTACGTGCTTGTCATCAGATCCATTAATTACTCTGTCGGAAAAATAAAGAAGTTGCTAAGATCTATCTATGGATAATACATAGCCTACACACTGGCTTGAAAGACCCCAGAAGCGAGGGGTTCAGCGACATAGTGGATACAATAAGGCGGGACTACTTCTACTGGTTGTAGGCTTGTAGCAGAAGCAAGGATTATCTGTAGGCAGTAAGGAAGCGGCAGCTCATGAGGTCCTCATTCAAGGTTGGTATATGGTGCAAGCAAAAGTCTGTTGAAGCAAAATGACCCTAACGTAAATTGATTTTTATCAGGCACCATCATATTTTCGGAATATTCATAACATACTGATATTCTATATGTCACTGTTTTGACTCCCGAGATTGATAGCATTACATAAGCCTCCACCTTTGGTTGCTGCGGTATCAACGGTGGACCGTGGACGCGTTAAGTGGGTGGTTTTTTTTGCGTGTGACGAGTGTGACCTCAACCTGAGCTTATCAAGGACAATTCACAGCTGTCCACCATGAAGTGCCAGCATACTGTGGTCCAGAAGATATGAGAGAATATACGGAGACGTGCTTCCCTATTCAGTTGCTCAGATGCAGGACCGAACTGCTGCAGCACTTCAAGCAATCAGCTCCGTTGATGATTTCCGCATCTCAACCAGATGCCACCTCGTCCACCCGCCTCCCCGCTTTCTCTGGAAATATGCTCGCCGTCCGCTTCCGACATGGACATCGATGGAGTACTCGGCTCCGATGAAGAACTAGACGAAGCTGATTGGACTGCTCGACGACAAAGGATTGAGAGGCTCGCTGAGTCGTACTTGAACGGCACTCCGCTTTTCATACTCTCTGCTTCGCTCCGGGGGCCATTCGACAGGGACTGGGTGAACCCTTGGAAGAAGTCAAGGAGGAGGGCGTCTGGCATTAGACACCAAGACAGTGGACCGACGAGCGATACAGCCGCGGCGGAAGAGATTGTGATACAGGAGACCAACTCTCGGAAGCGGAGACGATACCATGAATTACAAGACATCCGTGGGTCAAATTATCATGTCGGTCTCTCGGACTTCGATGTTGCATCCTCTCTTCACGATGAGGACCTCCGAACAAAATCGAAAAGTCCATTGTCGTCGAGACCACTGCGTGAGAAACGATCCGGAGTCTCGATGGCCTCACAACCGTCACCGAAGAGGTCAATACCTTGGGCAAGACTATCCTCTCTACAAGGGCAAGATCAGGAACCAAGCCCGTTTGTTAGCAATGATGCTTCTTGGTTGAAGAAGGATCGTGTCTGGATCAATTCCAGGAATGTTGATCCTCCCACATCCCCTACAACTACTGTCTCCAGCCGTCAATCCGATATGAGAGCTCGTGCGACCGCAACTCACTCAACCAAACGGCAATTTCCGACCAACGCAATTCCATCTCAACGTCGTTCCAGCATGGATTCGTCCAATCGCGCAGGATCTCCGGTCACTATGATTTCCCGCCAGGGATCCATTGCTGGGAAGGGTGGATCGAAGGAGAATGAAACGGTATCGAGGCATAATCGATCAGTAAACAGTTCAGAGAAACACGGCGCTGTTCCTGACGAAAATTTGAGCTGTTCACTTCAGATCGTTTCGTCGTCGTCACAACTACCTAAGTTTGAGTACCGTCGACGGAAGGTACGTGCTGCTTCTAGAGAGGAACATACCAGTTTCCCAATGGTCCTGGACAAGAGAAAGTCACCAGTAGTAGCTGAGGTGATGAAGGTGCCCGATTTCAAGGCCGATCGTCCGCCTCAAGCGCCTGCACCCCGAAATGTTTCATTCGCAGACGCTGGGGATCGCTGCCAATCGGAAAGCTCGCAGGCATCACATACTCTGACAAAAAGTGATGCCACGCCTGCCAGTCCTCCCGGCATGGAAACAGCCCGGAATCCTCATGCAGCCAGATCGATGCAGGCCAATACTAGCGAAAAGTTACATTCTGCCCAACGAGTGCCTGGAAACTCGGCCATGATGGACTGTGCTACGTCTCTGCATACCATCGCTGTGTCGAAAGAAGAAACAGAGTATGATGGTGATACTATCCCAGACGCCCAATTTTCCACGCAGGCAGCTGTTTTGCTCGCTCAGAGGTCTTTCCAGAATGACTTGGAAAGCCCGGAACCCGAGGAGCTTCCTTCGCGTCCAACAGGCAACCCGACTCAGACCCCTAACCCCAATGCATCCCCCCCAAACGAGATCACACCGTTCTACCAACTGAATACTCCCGGCAAGGCGGAGATCACAAATAAGTCATCAAAACCTCCAGCTACAGGGTTGCCAGTAATGAGCACGCAATGCATCATTGATGCAGTCACTCCTTTCACATTTAGTACAGAGAAGAAGAAGAGTAACTACCGTGTTCTTTCATCGGCAAAGAGTCGTTCAGGGGGAAGGAAATCACAGGATGTCAATCTTGCTACTCGTATAGCGCCATCCACTCACTCGTCGCCATCACCGAGCGTAAGGGACTACTCAGAGCTTGGGAATTCGGATGCTGAGAGGAATCTCGACGATGACTCCAGGCCCGAGATTTCTATCCTCCGTGATTTCCAACCTCAGAGTCAAAATAGTGTCTTGCCAATGACGTTGACAGGAACGACTCCTCCCACCGCCCAGGACGGACAAGGAGTAATCGCAGGTGCAGATAGCTTTAGTCTCAGTCAAGCGATTGCAGATGCAGGAAGCTGGTTGCAACAGAGCTTTGAGATCAACCGAGATCTTCAACAGTGTAATAGGGTGGGCCCTTCTTTGCCCGCAGAAACGTCGTGTCCTACTTTGAGTGTCAATGCAAACAATTGACGAGCATGCCCGGCTATGGTTAGTTATGCTCAGAGCTTGGTGGGGTTTCTTCTGAGAAATTGGCGGCCGTACATATTAATATACTTCTGTCATATTTAGCGACATACACATGGACATTTGGGCCTTTATCTGATGACTTTATGCTTTAAATATTAGTCTAATCAATGAATAAACATCTATCAATGACGATGCTAAATGCAACAATTCCAAGCAACATGAACCAAACTTTGACTTAATCATTCGTATCAGAGTAAATGCACTGTGGCCAGGGAAAGATGACGTTGGGTCAAGCTGTGGTCCTGCGGGATAAGGTACTAGCGCAGCGCAGCTCCGCAATTGCGCTTGCGGCCGAGAATCGAGATACAGCATGATCAACCGTCCTCCCCTCCCTTTGCTTACCGCATCCTGTTGATGGCGTGGACTTGATTCAAATGGCTCTGACATCAGTATGCTCATCTTATCTTCGAATTGAAGCTCACAGAAAGTACTGACTCGCTCTTCCCAGTGGAAAGCGTTCAACTTCTTTGACGTCTCGTCGGTCAAACTTCCGGAAGAGTGCTCGTCAATATTAAAAGTACACGATTGGCTCCCTCTCAATCATCCGTCTGTTCGCAATCTGAGTTCTAACAATATTCGAATCTGCTTAGTCCGATCTCACGTCTCTCAGCGCCGGCTCCTCTAATCTCTTTATCGGTTCTACCGATGGCCTGGTGCACATCGTTTCCGCTGGATTCAAGATCGTGCGATCTTTCAAGGCAGCGGACAATGGTTCCATTACGCATATTAAACGAATAGAAGGCACGTCACTGCTTATCACCATCGCAGAAGACCTCCCCAACGAACCCGTGCTGAAAGTGTGGGCGCTCGACAAACCCGAGAAGAAGACCGGAGCGCCGCGTTGCTTGTCTACGACGTCGATACAGAATGCGCGGAGGCCATTCCCTGTTTGTTGTCCCTAGGTTGACGTGGCGATTCAGGTGACTGATGATTGGACGAGGTATAGATATCTGCGTTCGCGGCTCTGGAAGATTTGTCGCAGGTAGCGGTGGGATTTGGCAACGGATCGGTTACAATCATTCGTGGCGACTTGATCCATGATCGTGGTGCACGACAACGCATTGTCTTCGAGTCGGAGGAGCCTATTACTGGGCTCGAGGTACAAAGCGGGGTGTTATCGACACTCTTCATCTCGACAACGAGTCGAATATTGACCTTGGTCATCTCCGGCAGAGGACAAGGTCAACCGGCGCGTGTGTTGGATGACTCTGGCTGCGGCGTTGGCTGCATGGCGCTTGACAAAGACACCGGAGACATTGTCGTTGCTAGAGAGGATGCTATTTACACGTATGGGCCGCATGGACGTGGCCCGAGCTATGCATTTGACAGCCCGAAAAACTCCATCAACGTATTCAGGGACTATGTGGCCTTGGTATGTCCTCCAAGGGCTGCCTTGGGAAACCTTCGCAGTCAGGCCGATGAGATCTTCAGCACAACGACTTTCACGCTGCTTGATACGGATCTCAAGTTTATAGCTCATTCGGAATCTCTGGCAGCGTCTGTCAGGCATATTTTCATAGAATGGGGCGACTTGTTCCTTCTCTCGACCGATGGAAAGGTATAATCCAATGATGAGAATGAGTATTGTCATAGCTGATAGACGGGTAGGTATATCGTTACCGTGAAAAGAGCCTCCAGCAGAAGCTGGAGATACTGTACCAACGCAATCTTTACATACTGGCCATCAATCTGGCGCAGAAAAAAGGCGTTGACGCTCTACAGCAGAATGCCATCTATCGCAAGTATGGCGATTTCCTCTACCAGAAAGGCGACTACGACACGGCAATGCAGCAATACCTACGGGCTATTGACAATACTGAACCTTCGCAGGTTATACGGAAGGTATACTGCCTGCACTTGGTCAATAAGCTTATATCTGACTGAATTGATCGCAGTACCTTGATACGCAGCGTATCCATAACCTGATTGAGTATCTTGAAGAACTTCACGATCACGACCGAGCTACCGTTGATCACACTACGCTCCTTCTAAACTGTTACGCCAAACTCAAAGACACGGACAAGCTGAACTCCTTTATCAAAGCTCCAGGAGAGCTCAAGTTTGACCTGGAGACGGCCATCGCTATGTGCCGACAAGGAGGTTATTATGAGCAGGCAGCCTATTTGGCTACAAAATACGGCGAAAATGACATGGTCATTGATATCCTGATTGAGGATTCGAAGAAGTACGCTGAAGCCGTGGAATACATCTGGAGACTTGAGCCGGACTTGGTTCGTAATGGCAGTCGTACCCTTATTGTTTTCCAGGGCTAACCCGGTCAAGGCTTATCATAACCTGATGAAATATGCCCGGGTATTGCTAGCCAATTGCCCTCAAGAGACTACGGAACTCTTCATGGCGTACTATAAGGGGCAGTATAGGCCAAGAACAGAGGTAGAGGTCCCAGCCGCACCCCAGACACAACCAACCAGTACTTTGCAAAGCTTGGCGGGTTTCCTTCCTTTGTCTCTGATTAATGCGGGTTCCGGAGCGAAGGCTGAAAAGCCCAAGGATATTCTTGATGAGGAGACGAAAATTGCAGAATCGACTCCAAGCTATGAAATCCCGAGACCAAGGACAGCTTTCTCGGCTTTTGTGGGCCGTCCGCAAGAATTCATTGCTTTCCTGGAGTCGCTGATCGACCTGGAAATTCTGAAGGAGGACAAAGTCGACATTTACACGACACTCTTTGAGATGTACCTGGATACAGCAAATCGTAAGAAGGATTCTGCTGAAAAGGAGGAGTGGGAAAACAAAGCCAAAACTCTCATCGAAGGGAAAGACGTAAGTGATCTTGCTCCAGTTGTGGCCCCGTCTCTTATTGGCTTTTAGATACCGATCTCGACTTCAAACGTCCTTCTCTTATCAGATCTGTCTAATTTCCGAGAGGGATCAACTCTCGTACGTGAGCAAGAAGGGCTTCGTTCTGACATCTTCCGGTCTTTTACCTCGGCCAAGGACACCCGTGGAGCTATCAGAGCTCTGCGGAAGTATGGACCAGAAGAGCCTCGGCTATATGTGGATGCTCTGACATACTTCGCCTCAAGCCCGGCCATCCTTGAGGAAGCCGGTGACGAACTCGACGTGGTACTCAAAAGAATCCACGATGACGGATTAATGTCGCCATTACAAGTCATTCAAGCTTTGAGCAACAACTCTGTGGTCACCATGGGCCGTGTCAAGAAGTATCTTAGCGACAACATCGAGCGCGAGCGGAAAGAGATTTCTACTGTAGGTTGCGTTCTGTCGATCTTTCACCTAGTTTGAGCTAATATGTGCCCTAGAATCGCCGCTTGATATCGAGTTACAGCTCGGAAACCGAGAAGAAAAGGCAAGAAATCGAGCAACTGGGTACCAAGCCCGTCGTTTTCCAGGCCCGTCGGTGCATGGCGTGCGGTGGAGCTCTGGACCTTCCTACTGTGCACTTCCTCTGCAAGCACTCATTTCATCAACGTTGCCTCAATAAGGTGGATGAAGACGCAGAATGCCCGATGTGTGCGCAAGAAAATTCCACCATCAAAGCTATCAGGAGGAGACAAGTGGAGTCAGCAGACCAACATGATCTCTTCAAGGGAGAACTTCAACGGGCAAAGGATCGATTCGGCGTGATTAGTGAGTTCTTCGGTCGGGGTGTGATGCGGCCGCAGAGTACCATGGAATCGTGATCCTTCGCTTGTGCTTATGATGATTTCGTCGCCAATTGATGCCTTGAATGCCAATACAGTAGAATTAATGATGCCTTATCGATATCTTATCAGCACGTGCTCGCGCGTCGTTCCGTTCCACGATTCCGTCCACTTGACGCGTGAGATATCATAAACGTAGACTGATAAGCCGATCTTTCCTCCTAACGAGTGTCTGATATTCCTGTATCTCTTTAAGAGCATATACATATCATCCACAAAATGTCTTTTGATAGAGTAATTCAAGACTCTGACGATGAGGACGATCCTTTGTCGGAGATGCCGCCCCCAATCAAGCGGGCCCCCGCGCTGCCAAAGAATCATTTTGATAATATCACCACTTGCAATGAGCAATCTGGAACTGTAACACCAGGCGGAGAAGCGCGATATATAGACCATGGAAACCATCTTGCCGTTGACTTTGACGCTTTTTTACAGTCACAGGAAACGGCGCCAAATGGCTTATCTGCCTCTCAGCAACGGAGGGAAGAGAGGTGGATTCCGTCTGACGCTGGGGCGGGGTCAATTGGTGAGTCTTGATATCAATTGCATCAGAGTCCTCGTCGAAAACGTTTTCAAGATTTTATTGGTTGACTAATGGTCGTGGTCAATTAATGCAGGCTCAGTGATGACGGAAATTGGACTTGCGCAGCGACGGCTTTTCGACGACGATGATGCTCAACAAGCAGATATTCGCGAGGCCCAGACAGCTGCTTGTTGCAACCAGTCGGACAATGGCTCAGCGCCTGCCGAGTCTCTGGTTCCTCTGAACATGGCAGTGTCGAATTATGACGATTACAATCACCATGAGGAGAGTCATGGTGCTCTGCAGCCTAGTGCATTCGCTAATCACACGTCGCAAGACATGGCGCTCCTCAATGGCAAAAACCACGGCCACGGTTACTCCAACAATGACATAACTGGATTTTACGGAGATCATATACGACATGTCGGGCCGCCGAACAGTTTGTCGAGTCATGACTTGGCGCCATCCTCAACGTCATACAATTTCTTTGAATCATCGCTGAATCCACCTGCGCAGTTGAATGGCGATCTTCAGAGCCCCCTGAGATCCAGCGACACAGTGCAAACGGAGACCGTTCGTAAAACACCAGGAAGGTCACATTCTATGCAAGCTACATCTTACTCCCCACACGACACCGAGCCAATCTCATCCTTAGTGACGCCGAAAGTCTGTAGAGCCAAAAGCGACAGCACTTGCCAAAATGCTCAGTCGCAGTCACCAAGTAGCGCATGCGATGAGCTCTCCGCCGCTGTTGCGATCGAGACACCGGAGGTGAAAAAGCAGCGCGGACGCAAAAGAAAGCAAGACATACCAGAAGATGATGAAGATGATGAGCTTGCTCCCTCAAATGATCAAGGCATCCCCGAGAGTGCCGAACCAGCCAAGAGAAAGCCGGGTCGGCCACCAAAGATCGTACGGACATTGAACGACGAATGCGATGACGCCGTGCTGACCAACGATCAGCCACAAGACCAGCCTGTATCTAATTCGGGAGAGATTCAAGAGCTTGATGATAGCCCGCTACGGCCTAATGTGATTGCATCGAACCCAGTAGCCAACGGGATATCACATGTGCCAGAAAAAGACAACTTTCGAGTTGAAGTTGCCAATAATTCGAAAGTAAATCGGACAGAAGTTTCGAACGACCCGCCTGCAGACATAAATCCCCCCCTGGCAAAGCCCTCAAAGAGGGCGAAAGAATCCAAGAAGAAGAAACTGAAGCGTGGAAAGACTACCTCAGTGACATTGAAAAAAACCTACGAATCAGATGTCGAAGACGATGTGATCTGGGTTGATGAAAGACCCTCAAATCATATCCTACAAGACGAACAGATCGCTCAGAAACCCAACAATGACTCAACGTTTGTCAGTTCAAACAATACAGAATCGTTTCAGATTCAGATACCAAGGCCTCACTCACCCTCTGCGACTGAGGTGACCGAACCCAAAACTTCGCTGGAGACATGGAAAGACGAACGAAAACCTGCACCACCAACACCCAAGAAGCGAGGACGCAAGAGGAAGAAGACTTCTGAGCTGCAAATCAGCGAAGAGACTTCCTCCGAGAATGCCAATGAACTCACAGGCAGCCGAGACGAGAATCAAGTACAACAACCACAGCAATTACCCATTGGCGTTTCCGTCATTCTTGAGCGGCCCTCGGACCAAGACATCAATGACCAGAAGATTGAAACCACAAATGATGAGTCTCCTTCCCGCAAAAAAGCAACACCACATCCACAGTCACTCTCGCCCTCCAAACCCTCAGCAACCACAGAGACGAACGCACCTGAAACCCCGAAGAAACCAGAATCAACGTCCAACCAGCCAGGCATGAATACATGCCCCAAGACAAACGACCTCTCCGAGAAAGGCCCCGACAAGCACAGCCCAATCGCAGGAACAAGCAAAGTGCCTTATCGAGTCGGACTGAGCCGCAAGGCCAGAATCGCGCCTCTGCTGAAGATCGTCCGACGATAACATCGACCATTTCTGCCACCCTATTTGTCTAGATGACTGTTTGTTTTCCATCATCATTCCTCCTACGGTATATCTATTATAAATGTTCTTCTTCTAACGCTTGTCACGACATCTGAATGACTTACAACCTGTATACCATACATTGTATTCTCACGATTTCCTGATTTGAGCCCGGAGCGAAGGCGATGGCATCTGTGCCACGGCACATGTTCGGCATTTTTATTTCCTTTTTTCCCCTGAAGGCCTGCCATTTTCTCGTGTTGTAGATTGTCTCTGCTATGATCAGCTTGAAAGTTTCCGATGGTATACTGAGACTCGGAGAATATAATGATAAGATGTGGAGGACCTGTGAAAAGACGCCGAAAATGACCACTACTAAGGCTATAAACAGCTGCATTGCCACCCATAATTCCTATTAGTGAGCCATTGCTTCAGTGCTCCTGTGTGTGCTTCATACTACTGTTTTGTACCTGCCAAGCAGTATTTAGTTACTGTCCTGAGGTGCTTAACTTCAACGAATGTTTGCTTTATTTTGACTTATAGCCAAGGTGATACTGAATATGACTTTCTCTGCGGCCATGCTCTTCGGGATGCCGTGGGCAAAATTCACATCAGGTACCAGAGGTGTCAATGCCTGAGCGCTCCTGAAACTTTTCCAACTAGACTTTGTACTCTAACGCTGCAATTAGTATTGTGGATATTTATAATACTGCCTATCTGTATAATCAACATGGCCCTTAGTCCTCAGAAATTAATGGTATAAGGTAGAGTATCAAAACTGCTAATGGAAAGGTTAGGGCTGTGGACCGGAGTATTTGCATTGTTAGTTAACTTTGCCTGTAGTTAACTAGTTAACTATCTAGTTAGTCAGCAACTAGCTAGTGAGGTTATGTGCTCACCACCGCACAAACCTTAATCACTTAGTCTGGTGTAGATAGCGAATACTAAGTGATTTAGGCGTCATCATTATCGAAGCCAAATTAAAGTTGAGAAAAGAGGTCAAGGACGTTCAAAGCCAGTGAAAATTAAACCTGAGTTCTATAATATTTGGTTCCGATTTGCTGACTTGCAATCCTCCATCTCCAGTACAAGAGCTGTCTAGCTGAATACCTATTCAAAGTTGCTAGACGAGTCTATTGGACCACATTCTGTCCTTGACCCCGCCTGTGACAAATATGCTTTCGCTGTCGCTGGGGATGGCCCTCTTGTGCTTTTATGGTGTGAGTAGGGCGACGTAAACTTTTGTCAATACCACTGTAGTCCCTATTCTGATTCGCCTCGCGAAACACTATTCCAGAGCTGGCTCGGAACGATGGCAGCGGGGCACCTCCAGCGAGACCGACTGTACCGAATACTCAGAGCTCGACGTTGTCGATCCTTGTTGATGTCTTACCAACCTCTCCTCGAAATGGGGCATGCAGTCTACCTTCTTAGAACAACCAAGAAAACTCTCCGCCGACACGGATGACAACAAATCAGAGTCGAGGCGAGTCAGGATGTGAAGAACCTCTGGTTCAGATATTTGCGAGTCTGTGTTTTCCCGGAAGTAACTAAAGGACCTGTGAATTCCCTCTTCGGGTAAACTTTGCTAATGGTCTCCTAATACGTTGCCTTGTAATTACTGCTTGGTCAAAAGGTGTTGAGAAAATGAACCTTGGTTTCATTTGGTTCGATCATATAGTTTTACAGGCCTCTCGGTGAATGATCCATGGCCATTAATGGCTAAGCTACTCTGTAGTATCTCTACTCTATACTACGACTGATGGAAAATGTATGAAAACTGATAGTATGATGGATGAAAATGATAATAGCTAAGGTGCTCTAGTCACATGATGGGCACGTGACATACTCTGTATTCTGACTTGCTTGTATATTAGCCTCCCGTCTCATCACAATGGAGCCCAAGCGGGACACGAACAGGCTGTTGACATACCCTTAATTCTGCAGACGGATATCTTTCAAAGGCCTCCCTTTGTAATCATATACTTTCAACTCAGAATAATCATTGGCAAAAACAGCAGTCCAGAGTCTTGGCTCGGAATATCCTATTATGTTGTGAGCAAGATCAGTGGGAAAAACAGCTATACAAAGTATAAACATACCACTTGTTGGGGGAGAAAAGGCACAGTTGATTATGATCCAATCTTCAACCATATTCTCCTTCAACCAGGGATAGTACTTCCCTCCCTCCTTGAATCGAGAGATATGTTCATTGACCCGGTCATGATCCCGAAGCAACTCAATCGCCCACTTCTTCTCTGGAATATAAAAGTCAACTCGACCATCAGCAGTCCTTGACCATTCACTGCAGATCGGTACACCCCGGCCTGCCACAAGATTGAATGACCTGTAGAATTCGTCCTGATATTGCGCCTCCATGGGCCTATATTTTGCTGCAGTCGACATTTTCCTGCCTTGAACAGCATGTCTCAGGTTCATCGTCGAAAATTTACTGAGAACCTCCAGGCATAATTTATCTAGCTGTTTGAATTTCAAAGGCCTCGCGACCCCGCCGATGATGTATTCAAGCCATCTAAGATAGGGTCAGATTAAGACAAGAAATACCACACAATAACTTACTTCTCATGTAGGCGTGATGGCAGGACAGCAACTCATATTCCAGCGGGAACTTTCCCGCAGATACCCGGTGAATCCAGCCTCTCTCGTAGCATTTCTTCATGCCCACATCATCACTATCGAATTTCATCTTTCCCTCCTCTAAAATCTTGCTCATCGTTTGAGCAGCATCAGGTGTAAAGGCCCATCCTGCAGGAAATGAGCGAAAAACACCCTGACTCCGGAGATAATCAAAGACTCGAGTATCATCCTTCAAATCATCGAGAACATGATTTTTCGTTATTGTACTGATACGTCTGTGTTTGAGGTCATGGCGATGCACCTAAACTAGAGTTAGTTGCACAAGCAAGCCTAAAGCTGATCCGTTCACTTTCTGGACTGGGATCAAGAATGGTACATACAGAATAAAGAAAATTGACTAATCCTGTCACCCCTCCGGGATGCCCATCTGTGAGCTCGTATAGGTAGCTCATAGCCTCTTCATCAATTGTGAACTTTTCACCTTACTTGTTTGTGGTCAGAAGAGACACAGTCTCATTGAATTCATCTGGTGTAAAAAATAAGCCGAGCTTTGGCGACATTGGGTCAGGTTGAGGGGTCAGTGTAATGCGCTGTGGGGCAGCAAAAGTAGCTGGAGTAAAGTATACGCGGTCTGCCTCCACGGCTGTCCAAGGGCTTCCGTAGGAACAGAAAAGACAAATCTTTATGTCCTTGCCTTCACCAGACCTTCGCTCTTTGATGACCGTGTTCCAGAACCAATCGTCCTTGTATGAAGCCTGAGCCCCATCAAGAAGAATCACAGTCTTTGAAGCAAAAAATTCCGTGAAACTAGATTTAGAGATTTAGGATACCTTTGTTGCAGGAGCAAGGCGAATCGGGTCCAAGGGTCATTGCCATTGAAACTCTCCAGCGGCTTCCAGGTCTCGAGTAGAAACACCCTCCTATTATTCTCGAGGTAGTAGTCCCTTAGAAGTTGGGATAGGACTGTTTTCCCGCTCGCTGGTGTTCCGCGTACGTGAATAACATCTTCAGAATCCACAGCAGCTGCAAGCTTTGATACTGTATCCTTGCGTAAACATCTCGTTGGATTACTAGTAGCTATCCGTCCTCACACAATTGTCAGCTCTAAATATGTCCTCTAATGGGACAGGATCTCACACTTACGTTGCGTGTGATCAGAGTTGCCGGCAGATGCTAATATTTCCATCGGAGATGATTCGGTACGAAAATCCTGGTGCTCTGAGAGGAGATGATCACACTTCCGGCATTTCTCTTCAAGGGCGGCTGATACTGATGTCAGAGTAAAAACCCCTTCTGAACATGGACATGGAACATCCAATGTGCCTATCTTTCCGAATGCTGTACACTTGCCCGCGCCCATTGTGCGAGAGGTTAAAGTGTGTTTGATTTCTGAGGGAGGACACAAAGGGGAAGAGAAAAGTTGAGAAGGTGAGTGTAAGAGCATCATCCTTGAAATTTTTGGCGCGACTTAGGATGGTAGGTTTGGTAGAAAGTGTTGTGAGGAAGGAGCGAAGGGACTGTGATTATAACAATGTGATCAAACAGATCCAGTGCGAAACACCAGAGGTATGGTACTTTACATTTAGCCCAGTTGATATGAGAAAGGAGAAAAGTCAGAATATAGTAAATGGTTTCAAGAGGAAGAAGGTGACGAAGTTACCTCCCTTTGGCAACTAATAGAATTAAGCTCATGTGCTGCTCACAATGATGACAATGCGGTGTATCAGGCGGCTATCCCAAAAGGGGAAAGACTAACCTCGCACAGAAATTCACTGGTCCTCACTTTACACGATTAACATGATAATTTGACATTTCTGTTCTGCTCTGCATTCCCTCTGTTGTCCGGAGGAGGATTGAGTTATGATTGTGTGTTTCACATTTATCTACCTAGGGCAGCGAACGCATGGCAAAATAATTAATCAAAAGCCCTTGGCAGGAATTCCAAGGGAAAGAACAAGACCGACATTCAAAAACCCAGACGACCTCCCACAACATAGCAACCACGAGGAGACACAAAACTAAATTAACGATGGTATGTGCATACACCGAAAAATTGAGCGCCGTTGCAAATATTCCAAAAAGGGCAAGACATGATGAAGCCTAGATACGCTCGAGGGCACCATTTCGGCAGCGCGTGCCGGCGGCAACAAGTCCCATGTGAACGGGTCTGCCCCAGTCGCACATGGCCCATGTCTGACCATCGGGACCGCACAGGATCTCGCCGTGTACACAAGGCTCCGCGTATCCTTGCGCGGGCGCAGGCTGAGAGGCAGGCTGAGAGGCAGGCTTGGGCTCAATCGCATGCTCAGCTTCAGGGTAGTTCTTGGACTCGGGTTTGGATGCAGACTCCGACTCAGGCTTATACCCAATCTCGGGCTTGGACTGAGACTGGGCCTCAGGTTTATACAGAGACTCCGGAGTAGATTGAGACATAGTCTCAGGCTTGTACCCAAACTCGGGGGTGGATTGAGACTCAGGTTGAGGCTTGTACTCAGACTGCGGGTTGGTCTGAGACTGGGCCTCAGGTTTATACACAGACTCCGGGGTGGATTGGGACTCGGACTGAGGCTTGTACCCAAACTCGGGCTTTGGCTGGGACTGGGCCTCAGGCTTATACACAGTCTCGGGGGTGGATTGCGACTCGGACTGAGGCTTATACCCAAACCCCGGGGTAGATTGGGACTGGGCCTCAGGCTTGTACACAGATTCCGGGGTGGATTGTGACTCAGGTTGAGGCTTGTAGCCAGACTCTAGGGTGGATTGAACAGACTGAGGCTTGTAGCCAGACTCCGGGATTGATTGAACAGATTGAGGCTTGTACCCGGACTCCGGCGTGGATTGAGTCTCGGGCTGAGAATTGTACCCGGACTCGGAACTGGAGAACTGTGAAGGGTTGGGGTTTTCGCGAAGGGGCCCGTGGAGTCGAGCGGGTCTTGCTGAGGGTGTGGCCGTAGAGTGGGAACTTGAAGAAGGTGTAGCAGATGAAGCAACGGCGTGAACGGACGAAGAGGCCTTGGGACTGTTGCTGCTCGAGTCGCCGCTGCCCAGGAAAGGGGCAGAGCCCTCGCACTGGTATCCCTTTCCACTCAAGGAGCCCTCGACGGAAGGTCCCGGGAGAGGAAAGTTCACTTCCTGGCCCTCGATTGTCTTGCACTTGCCGGGTCCGTTGATGTTGGCCTGGAAGATCGGTGGAAGGCTGTCAAAGCCGCCGGCCCGACGGGAGAGGGCAGGAGACAGGTCGCGCGCGTGCCGGCGGGCCTGAGAACCACCCTGGATGGTGACCATAGCACAGTTCATATACATCTCGCGATTTCCGACCTTGTTGAACCATGACCACGCCAGGAGGGCCTCGCCAGACGGTGCGTCGGATGGGATTTGGAAGTTATACTTGGAGGTGATAGGGCATCCTCCAAGCATTGAATGGATGACTTTGAAGTTCTTGCCCTTGTCATAGGAGAGGGAAATCTGGCATGAGCCTCCGCCGTGGGTCGCGCTGCCCTGCAGTTCAAGTTCGTATGTTTGGCCGGGGGTATAGTCAGCGACAGATTTAAAGGGATCATTTGCATATCCCTTGCACGGGTAATCAGATCCATCTGTTGACAGGGGGTTCGTGTAGGAGTAATCCTTTTGGTCACCCCCGTCCGGGTTCAGCGGGCTCCGAATGGGATACGGCTTCGACATCTGGATATGTCCGGAGACGCATGACGCCAACAGGGCGGCAGCGACCAAGAAGCCCTTCATCGCGAGAGCGATTCTATGATTATCTGTGCGTGAAGTGAAAGCTAATTCAAGCAATCTGTGTATTTATACCGTTAGCAATGTACGGTCGACAATGGCAGTAGTGACTCAGAATTTGCAGGACAGACAAAAGAGCAGTCTGGAGATCTTTGATATCTCTCGTCTTTGCAGTGCCATTGGCTCATACTGGACATAGGAACGATTGATACTCACTGATAATTGTCAGACAACCACGATTGTCAGGCACAGAGCTATAAGGAACAAGGCTCGCAAAGAGTTGAAGAAAAGAAACCAAGAGCAGCTCTTATGACCGGGCAGGGACTTCCAGTATATCAGGAGCAGAGGATTGACTGAAGAAGTCCAAGAATTAGACTCTCCTGCTCAGCAACCGGAAAGCCAGCCTCTTCTGTTTTGCTGGTTGCTGAGCAGCCTTTTTAAGTCGGTCGACACATCAGCTGGTATGTAAGACTTCATTGCTCCGCGTTTCACATTATCTTCAGTAAGAATGAATGCTGGATGCCATCGTCGGGTCCACCATGGCGTCCACGAGTGACGGCTCATCGACCTGCTTTGAGGAATGAAGGAATGCTGGAGGTTCAACAGTCCGTTCACCAGTAAGTAGTGTGTTCGCTATGGCCTTCCTCGAATATCTGCCACGGACCTTATCATTTCCAGACGTGGCAGTATCCAAGCCAAACCCCATTATGTGTGCGATGTTTCGACGGAAGGTTATCACCTGCTGGTTCTTATGGAGACTCTGTGCGCCCTCCATGACACTTATTGTCGTTGACACTCATTTTTTTGGAATTTGAGGATCTTGATGAAATGGAGTTTAGACCTATGATATGAGCTGTTTTTCATGAGATACTGTAGAGGAAGAGTTGTTGATGGAATACTTACAGGTAGGTCTTGGCGATCGCATCCGCAGTCCCCGGGGAGCAAAGACGCGCCCCCTGAAATGCTTAAATTAACAACAGCTCCAGCCTCCAAGTTTATCAGCAGAAACCAGCCTGAGCTTGCGGATTTGTTTCAATCTCGTCCTCTGATAATCCTGAAGACTTGTTTCCTGCTGTTTGCAATTATTTTTCTTGGTTCCTTGGCTTCTTCCGTCATTTCCTGTCACCAGCTCCCGATCGATCATCGACCATCGATCATTCATTCATCCGCGCAGAGAGAAAATGCTGTGGCTCTTCCAATTGATCAATCATCACAGCTAGAACTCACTCCATCTCCTTCTCTCAGAAATTCCACCTGTTGAACAGCCCGCTCTGCTGGATGTTTCTGCGGGCTACGGTTCCCCAGCAGCAGAGGATTTTAGCTCATGCTCTTCCCTTCCAACAACATGCCGCAGGTTCCCATGGCGTTCTGGAATTTGGCCCGCCTTACGCTTCAATTCGCCACATCTCATCGTCACGGTGGATAACTCTATCAGCTTCCGTGGCAAGCCAAAATCTTTCTTATGCTCTGGCCCAGAACCGTGGACGTTCTTTAGGTTCTGTTCGCCCGCATGGACGCGTTTCAGGCGTGATTGCGACACATTCCTCTGCTGGTGGATTGTTCAAACTGGTGACCACGCCAGCTTTTCCTCCATACCTGCCTTTAAGAAGATTGTCGCGATCTTCGGAATCTGTTACCATGCCAGCCTGCGCAGTTGCGCGGGACGACACCGACGGGATCTCTGACACTGTCGGAATTGCCCCACAAGCAACCAAGTCAAATGACGAGCCGTCTCAAGATAATGTGCCTTTAGACCCAGAATCAGATGAGGATATTCCTGTTGAAGCCGAGGAGCTTCAGGATGCTCTCTCGCGTCCCCCGCCTGTGAATAGTAGCTACCTTCCGCTCCCTTGGAAAGGCCGATTAGGTTATGTAAGTCAGGTCAATTCGCGCATTTTTTCGGATGCCAGCCCCTACGTAGTCGTGTTGCTTATGATGTGGAGGCCTGTTTGAATACATATCTACGAAACGCGAATCCGCCAGTGTTCTGTTCTCGGACCTGTCGCATTGCCTCCATTCTCGAAAACCGACACCCACTTGCGGATCCTTCACAGCCGCCTCATCCGACCAAGAACCGCCCAGATCGGGGCCAGACGCCGGATGTTGCCCGCGGGCAAGCCTACGTTGAGTCTTTGGGCCTTGTCAATGCGCGAGATCTCATTAAGCTCCTGCGCTGGAATGACAAATATGGCATCAAGTTCATGCGGCTGAGTAGTGAAATGTTTCCTTTCGCCAGCCATAAGGAGTATGGCTATAAACTTGCCCCATTTGCATCAGATGTTCTCGCTGAAGTTGGACGTGTGGTTGCCGAACTAGGCCATCGAGTGTCCGTCCATCCTGGCCAGTTCACTCAGCTTGGCTCGCCCAGACAGGATGTCATCGAGAGCTCGATCCGCGATCTGGAATATCATTCGGAGATGTTGCAGCTCCTCAAGTTGCCTCCGCAGCAAGATCGTGACGCTGTCATGATTCTCCACATGGGTGGTGTATTCGGCGATAAAGAGGCCACACTGGATCGGTTCCGGGAGAATTACAAAGATCTCTCACAGGATATCAAGAATCGGCTCGTCCTGGAGAATGACGATGTGAGCTGGTCAGTGCATGATTTGCTGCCCATATGTGAGGAGCTGAATATACCGCTTGTCCTCGACTTCCATCACCACAACATCATCTTCGACTCCAGCCAAGTGCGCGAGGGTACTTTGGATATCATGAACCTTTTCGACCGAATCAAGACGACTTGGACACGTAAGAACATCACGCAGAAAATGCATTATTCTGAACCTGTCCCCTCCGCCATCACGAATCGACAGCGGCGAAAGCACAGCAATCGAGTGTCCACGCTCCCACCTTGTGACCCGACCATGGATCTAATGATCGAGGCCAAGGACAAGGAGCAGGCCGTTTTTGAGTTGATGAGGCGGTTTAAACTGCCTGGGCACGACCTTTTCAATGATGTATTGCCCTACACGCGGACCGATGAGAACAAGCCTTTCAAACCACCTCGCAAAACCAAGAAGAATGGAGGGTTCGTTGACCTCGAAGCTCTAGTCCCTCCTCCTCCTACCATTCCCGAGGAAGAAGTAGGCATGGGCGGTCCGGAAAGGAGAGTCTATTGGCCACCAGGTATGGAGGAGTGGCTTCGACCGAAGAAGATCATTCGTGTCAAAGCAGGGCAGAGCCCGGCAAAACCGAATGCGTCGAAGAAGAAGGCAAACGCAAATGATGACTCGTCACAGATAAAGGAAGAGCATGCTGATGAGGAAGATGAGGCGCCAGCGACTCCCAAGCCCAAGACTCCTCGTCAACCCAAACGCACTGCAAGTGTGAAAAAGCAGTCAAGCAGGAAACGGAAGGCTTCGCCGACTCCGCCCTCTACTCCATCGGTCTCTGATATCGATGCTTTAGATCTGGCGGAACCGCCCACTCTTTCTCGTACCGAGACTGCCAATACCCGTCGTAGTCGCCGCGCAAAGACCGCGAAAAAGGTCAGTTACGCCGAGGAGAGCGACTCTGTATGAGGAGATTGCTGCTGGAACATTGCTGGGCCAGACTTGCATACGGGGACTGTGAAGTTAGTCTCATACATGTACTATAATCGAATATGTAAAAGTAAAAGTCACTCCTCGACGGAAATAATAATTTTGATTCGTCTCACTATTTGGATACTTCGTAGTTAGTGCAGCTTTAACCTGATGATCTGCGGGCGATGATGAAACGAGGCCACCGGGCCTGTTCCGCCTCTCCACAGCTTCAACTCCAACAGCCTACAAGTTCATCGATCCGGGACACTTGATCTTCTACGACCTTGACGTCGATAGTACCAAGCTCTGCTTATATCCTCCGAATTAAACTCGAACTAGATAGATCCCTTTCATATCAAGACCCTGGCTCCCAAAATCCATCCTCGCAGTCGCTGGCTAGCGCCCCCGCCGTCTTCCCAGTTCAAGCGCCAACCCCTCTTTCGGTTTCTCCCCTCGCTGCTTCGTCCCTCGAATCGAGACCGACAGTCCAGTCCAGGCCGGCTCCTCCGTTTCTTCCGTCTCCTCATCGGTCCTCACGCCACCCGCCGCGCTCAGCTGCGCCTTTGGGGTCTGCGGCACGAGACGATCCCTGCTTTCCGCCATCGAGCACAAGCAAGGGTTTATCGCGCCATCGTTCAGCAGCAAGCAAGACGGGCACATAGACGTACATCGGGCAAGAGGGGTATACTTGAGCTTCTGTTTCTAGGGCGGACGGGACCAGCCAGGCGACTGGGCGCTGGTCCTGCTGGAGGGTCGCAGCTTGTCCCACGCGTGAAAGCTCTGCGAGCCGGAGGACAAGCCCCGGATGCAGCTGCAAGATTCTCGATGTCCCAGTACGAATCGTCCGCTTCTACATCGTGGGGCGCCGGGAGTGGCGGGCGGCGCAAGAGGGTCTACGAATATCTGAAGGCGGCTAATGAGCTACGACAGACGTATACTGCGCAGTGGGGGACGCAGAGGAATAACCAGCGTGATTACAATGAGGATTACTACAATACCCCTGGTGCTTTTTCCGATGTGGAAATCGCGCGGTCCGGAAATGAGGAGATGGTTCTATTCCCAAGCTATGCGCGGAGACTTGTGAAAGGGAAACGGCCGGAGGTTGAGGCTCGCCAGCGTCGTGATTCGACTTCGACGATTGACGAGTACCGTGGTGTGTCGGACGATCCGGAGCCCGCGTCCGAGTGGACACGATACGAGGATGAACATGCAGTCGTGGCTGTCGATGTGCGAGGCTGGGTCTACGCACCTCAGCGCGGGCCAATGACCCGGAAGCATCGCTTGCTGATTGCGCTGGCCAGGAAGTTGAGCGGAATACCTGCTCCTAATAATACGACGGCTGATAATGGCAATGCGAATGCAGATGTTGGAACCTCTACGAAAACGAACGGGGTTAGCGAAGAGGAAATCGTTGATCAAGAGGCACAGTCTATCGTCAATGACGCGCAGAAGAGCACGGATCCCGTGTGGAAGGGCAGCGCTTCCGGTGATCGCAGTTCAAGTGCTTCTCCGGGGAAGCCCGTGCAACGGGCAGCGACGATGCCCGAGTCCTCGCAGTTGAGTAAAGATGAGCTGACAGTTGCGAATGCGCATCTCATGGAGAGACTGCGTCCGTTTCTCACAAACCCAATGGCCGCGATGCCTGTGACTGTTTTCTTCTACGACGACGAGCAAAGTCAATCGAGAAACATCATGACCGACGAATTGGGCCACTTCAATCTCCGTGCAACGCTGCCGTTTGTCCCAACTCATATCCGCGTGTTGGCCTCCGAGGAACTGTCCGCTACAAAAGGGATTCAGATCGTCGAGCCAACAGGTGTCAGCTTGATTAGTGACATCGACGACACCGTGAAGCATTCCGCCATCGCAAATGGGGCGAAGGAGATGTTTCGGAACACATTTGTTCGCGAACTGGCTGACCTCAGTGTCGATGGTGTCACTGATTGGTACAACAAGTTAGCCCAGATGGGTGTGGAGATTCACTACGTCTCTAACGCACCATGGCAGCTCTACCCGTTGTTGGAACGCTATTTCAAACTGGTTGGACTTCCTCCCGGGTCCTTCCACCTGAAGCAGTACAGCGGCATGCTGCAGGGGATTTTTGAGCCTACAGCAGAAAGAAAGAGAGGCTCTCTGGAACAAATCCTGCGGGACTTCCCTGAACGCAAGTTCATACTGGTCGGCGATAGCGGTGAGGCAGATCTTGAGGTTTATACTGATATCGTCCTGGCGAATCCTGGCAGAATTCTCGGGATCTTCATTCGTGATGTCACCACGTCAGACCGTAAGAACTTTTTCAACAAGTCTGTCGATCATCTAGAAGGCGTCCCTGCTCGAAGTTACAGTACTCCTCAACTTGTCGATGACTCAGATGCGGTAGCAAAGCGGCCTGCGTTGCCGCCTCGTCGGCCCCGTGAATCCCCAGGGCCATCTGCAGATGCCATTAGTATTGATAATGGCGACCTGATTGATCTACGGGACGAAGTGCAAGAGAAAAATATACCGGCAGATGCTCTCAAGCCCGCAAACTTCCGTACGCCGCCCATGAAGCCGAGCAAACCCTCTTCTCTTCGAGCTGTGACGACGAATTCGGAGCTGGCAGGAAAGGAAGCTTCTTCTCAAATCCAGGATGTCATCCGGCGCAAGCCTGTTCCTCCAGTCCCCCCTCGCCGTCCAACTCCAACAGATCAAGAGAAATCTTCGAGCTCCCCTCAAGCATCGGCGCAGAGTACAAGTTACGCTGGCAGCGTCATAAATGCAGTCCAATCGGTCACAAACTCCCTCCCAGCCATGACGAATCAGTTACCGTTCCGACCTAAGACTTTTGACGGCAATGTCGGGGTTGATCAACAATCTGACGCGACGAAGTTGACACGTCCCAAGCAAGCCCCTCCGCCTCCACCACCGCGGCGCACAAATCCAGGGGCTTCAACTGTGACTTCGGATAGCACCGGTAACCGTTCAGCATCTCAGAAAACACAGTCATACCCAGCTTCAGCCGCTGCTGCTGCGTTCCAGTTCGCGTCTGAGCGCCTCAATTGGTCTGCGTCGCCAGCTAATTCTCTGCGGTCCAGAGCTTCGACCCCAACGTTGAGTCGTTCCAGCACAAATCCTGTGAACAACCAATCAGACCCGTCGTCTGTTCCCCCACCTCCTCTGCCAAATAAGAGAGAGGAGCTGTGGCGACGGCGGTGGGAACGAGCTAATGAGCTCCTAGCGGAGCAGGGAGTTGTGCTGGGCAGTTGGCGTGTGGGGAAAGATATGGAGGATGTCAGTGTGTGGCTGGTACAACAGGCCATGAAAGACATGCAGAATGATTTCAAAACGCATCCTGAACCGAAGACATGAAGTTTGTTTGTATTCTTGAACCACGATGTACATTTTCCTCGATGTCTATAGCATACGTGATGTATACCCACCATATGATAGATCATGACATGAACAGCGTTCTGACCGTTTACTTCAAACCGAGCGTGATAGAATAACCATCAGTAGATAGAGAAGATTATTTTCTTCAGAATCAGACCATTTGACCACTGAAAAAGCCCTCTTTTGTTCTGGGCTGGTGGCTGCCTCCAGGTCGCCGTTGATCCCCGCTTCAACAATCTCAAACTGCGTCATACGCTTTCTCTCTCACTTGCTCACACGACCCTTGGCCATGCATTCTTGTGGGTCTTTTACGAACAAGCATGGATCAAGGATCAAGGGGAACTCATGGAAGTCTTCCAATTTAAGGGACGTGCCGTAACTCAATTGATGGCTGTCACACCAATAATATTATCGAGGAGCGGCATATCAAACTTCGCCTTGATATGTGGAGTGGAGTCCACCAACAAGACCTCAAAATTTGATCGAAGGATCTCTAGGGAGAAGGGACCATCGTTCGAAAACAATTAAACGAGCGAGGTCTCCATTTTCATAGGTATGGAAAATGATACTGATAGTCTGACTGATAGTCTGGATGGTCTCCAAGTCTCATCAATAAAGCTTGCGCAGAGCTCATCCCATTCAATCGGCGGATCCTCATGTCGGCCTGAATATTCATGACGTCTCGCTTGGTCACTGGGAGACCAGTCGTTACACAGGCATCATAAATTGAGGTAAGGGGTCTGATATAAGGCCGTCTTCACTCAATAGCTCCAGTTTCGGGGTCTCTGGCACTGGCGTCACCACTGGAGATGCTGGGGTGAGTGTGACAGTGGAAGAGATGCATTGGCGCCAGGCAACAATCCTTCTCTTTCCTGAAAGAGGCACGCGCATTAGTCGTATATCGTCATGACGTGTTCTGCTGGGATTTTTCTCGGAGACTATCTAGGGGCAAGAGGGTGAGAACCTTTTCTTTCATTCCACAAGGCTGGAGGAACAGCCACTCATATGAAATGAAACCGTCTGGGCAGGGAAGGTCAAATCCCGAAGCTGAGCCCTCTTGATGATGCTGACGGTGATCCGACATCTACGTGATTCATAGCTACTGGTGGAGCTGAAACCATCTGGGCATGAAAGGGCGAATCCCAAAGCTGAACCCTCTCGATGATGCAGACGATTCCATCACCCGAAGGGTAGATAGGATCTGCACTTTTGTGACACCAGCTGAACAATCACGAGCAGGGTACTTTGCCCTGTTCCAGGCTCTGTACCACGAGATTCGAGTGGAGACTCTGCTAGGCCTTGCGTATGTCGCCTGAAGATACTTGCGAGACAATGACACCCTAGAGAGGGTAGTCGACATCTACGTGACGTGTCAAGAGTCTCTTCAGGGTCCAGCTGTCGCAACGGCAAGGCCGATTCCTCTCAGGTCGTAACATGAAGCGACTTGATTTAACAGCTCCCAGCCGCGCGAGGGATCTGTCGTGAACCCAAATCCTCATATGCTATCTACACCATGTCAGAAGTGGACAAGCGGTTGCAGGTCTCGCTCCACACCCCTTCTGGGTCCTTTTCCGAGGCCGTGGCAGTCTCCCAAGGGGCCATCAATAAGAACCTCGATAACCTTCTCAAGCTATATCCCGATTTTGCGACAATCAATATCTCCGCTCACGATGGGACCATGGATGCCAAGCTGGATTCCGGGAGAGTGGCCTTGCACATCCTAGATAACAATCGAGGCATGGTGGACTACTTCTGCACCTTCAAATCGGGTACGGTTTCCGTATGGGATGACGAACTGGAGTATGTGGCGCTCCCATCCATCGAAACCTCATGTCGCCTAACACTTTCACCCAGCAACTTCACGGACCCAATTGACATGACTGGCTGGGTATTTGCCTTCGCCGTCAACATGGGGAGCGCGGATGTGGATGAGAGCACCGATGAATATCAAGACATCGCATCCGCCTTTGCCCAACCCGGCGATTACTCTATATGGCGCCTGTATAACTGTAAGCCTGGCATCGCTTGCGTGGTTTCCGGTTGTTGAGGTGACAACTTCCCAGCTAATCAGATTGCCTCCTTCAAGTAGAGTACCCCCGTCTGCCAGTCACACTACTCTTGGTCAGCTCTTCTGACTCTTCGCAGTAAAGACGCCAGCTCTTTCGGCGGCTACGAGTTCTCAGCCAGTGGCCTCATATCGTTTCAGGCCATTATGCTTAAATGGGCCGATGCCGTGGTCAATAAAGCTGAGGAAGAGCCGCGCATATCCAGAGCATTGTTGACCAGTGAGACAATCGAATTATGAGTGGCCTTGATATCGCCCCAGTTGAGGATGAATCCGATCCACTCGATGATCTTCTCCGCGATCTCCAGAATCTTCTCGAAAATCCAGCTGATCGCTTTGCCGATCATCTCTGCCGTGTTGAGGATCCAGCGGTAGGCTTGGCCTGCGATCTCGACCCAAAAATGGCAGAATTCTTCGGTGGCCTCGATTGCCCAGGCCGTGATGTCATTGAAAACACCTTCGAGCCAATTCCACGCATCCTGTTGAAGAGATGAATGTCAGTAGGGTACCCATGTTACGTGAGGGGACAGCGTTAAGAGAACCTCACGTCTAACATGTCGATGAAGCCTCCGCGCATATAGAACCTCTCCTTGTTCTTTCCAAACATGCCGTGCTTTGGTTCAGCCCTTGTCACCGAGCTTTGTCCTGTGAGAGTCGCGCCTCGTCGAGATACCGCAGCCGCTACGGCTTGAGCTGCCTCGTTCAGGTCATAGTCATCTAGGCTGTTGCTTTCCAGCAACCGATCACCATTCTGCAACCGTGCGTTTTTGAGGTCGTCTCCGGTCTGGATCTTCGACAGGGCATCATACACCTTGACAGCGGGATCAACCACGGCCCCATCGCTCGCGGAGACCCCCTCGGTTGAGGCTACTGTGAAGGTGTAAGTGGAAATGTCATCGGTTGGGACTATCAGTGTGAGTAGCCCCTCCTGGTCAGTCACGACGGGAGTCCCGGATGGCGAAATCTGCAAGGGCATGCCATTCATGAGGATGTCCACGTAGCCAGAGCTCTGCAGCAACACCTCCCCGTCCACCCGAGGGGAATCATCATCATTATAGACCCAGATCTGGGTTGTATAACTCTTGAGCTCAACGACTTTATCCAGCGTGGGCGTGTAAAACGGGGTGGGCTTCCAGAGGCCCAGCTGCGGGTCATGGCGAATGAGACTCAGAGAGCCGCCGCTGTCGGACACGATGATCTGGTCCTGCCCTAGTGACGGGGACTTGAATACCGAGAAACGACCACCTTGCCGCCGAGCAAGCACCGGAATCGGGTGCTGAACCTCGCTGAAGTCCGCATCGGTCGTGATGTAACCTACAGTCTCGTCGGCAGCTTCCGCCCACACTGTGACCGCCTGAGGGGACTGAGCAACATGAAGCTCTGAAATCGAGGAGAAGAAGCTCTCCGCCACGACACGTGTGGGTTCGGAGTTCTTGTACAAGCACTTCCTGGCTTCGAGTCGATACAATCCACTCCCACCGATGAGCAGATCTGTGAATCCGTCGGCATTGACGACAGACCCCAAGCAGGTGGCATCTAGTACCGAACCTTGTTAGTCAAGGTCTTAGATGATCATGGCAGATACCTACTTCTAGGAACTTGCAGGGTAACCTGATAGGTCGGTGACTGGAAGATGAGCTGTACTTCGTCTATGGACCGAGCCCGTCAGTGTCTGGGCCACCAAAGAGCATGGGGTTCGCCTGACCTTGAATGATGTACAGAGCTGCCTGGCCTAACATGGTGCCATCGCCAAACGGAACAGCGAGCGGCTGAAGGGCCAAGATCTTCGTGGCATCCTCCGGTAAATCGACGTCTGTTCGAAGATCCCAGCTTCCCAGGTCATTGCTGACATTAACCTGCTCCAGATCCTCCTTCTTGTTCAGGTACTCCAGAGGTTGAAAAGCGACGAGCACCGGAGGGTAGACGCTGCTTCCAGTAGCGCCAACCTAAATGAAGCGAATGTATGTCAGACGCGATGAATAGATGGGGGACCATCGCAGCACGCAACCCACCGAGAAGAAGGAATTCACGCGCTGGTTATAGCTCTGCCCTGTCTGGGGGATTATCAGCCCACTCAGGTCAGAGCCTGAGGAACTCAAGTCATACTCGCTCGGCTGGAACGGCTTCAAGACGATGATCTCGCTTGCATCTTCGTTCTCCGTGGACTGGATGGCCAGGACCAGAAATAGGTTCATTCCCGGACCTTGGGATACACTGAGAGCGTGACCCACATAGCTGGCGTCGAGCCTCAGCAAGCCGCCCAAGTCGTTCAGCTGCTTCTGTCCATACGCATCGTTCTGGACCACATAGAACTTTTTATCTGTGCCCAGGGAGAAGACGGCTGGGTTTCCTTGCTCGTCCGCAACCGTGAAAAAGAGAGAGGACTTGGGGACGGCAACTGCCGCAACATGCTGTACCATCAGCTCGAAATCGTGGTTTACGGAGAACATGATGAGATCGCTGTTATTGGAAAGGGGGGTGTCTTGTCAAGAGCTATAGAGCCGTTCTCCTCTCAATGGGCAAGTAATGTGCGCGGTGAGCCTTGTGCCCCGTCGATTGATATTTAACCCCTCCCAGCTGTCGCCTTCTCCCACCTGCCTGGCTCAAAGCCACGTCATGGATTTCCGCAAAATTGACAGGACTGACAGGAAGAGAGTCTGTACATGCTGTCGCAAACGTACGTGCTTTGCCACTCCCTGTAGTCATGACGTGTCATGCAGCGACCTCTATCAAAATCCCTCAGCAATTGCTCGCGAGCCAGCAGCTTGAGATCATCGTACGCACGATGGTCCAATCCTGTACCCTCGGCTTCGCCAGCAAGCGGGCGACTCGCAGAGGAAGTACATAGGCCTGAGCTGCATGTCACACTCATGTAGGTTGGCTGATCTACAACTTCGGCCTCATGCCTGTGGTCGGGTCAACCAGGATGTAATTAGGTCTCCTCCCACCCAATCCGCCAAGAAGGTCAATACAATTAGTCTCGTCTTACGATGGATTATGAGGTAGCTGAAACTCCGTATGCTCGGATGTGGAAGGGCTGAGATTATTTCGCACTGACGTGGCACTGGCAGGCTGCCATACCCTAGCTCAGAGCCCATATAACCGCTTCAGCGACTTAGCGAGAGACCTCGCGTGGAGGCTTGCGGCGGGAATAGCAAATTTATCCCACATATCAAACCGCTTTATGTCTTGCTAGAGCTACATCCCCTGTAACGTGTAGTCCTACCATCTACAGGCCATATCGCCCTTGCCCTGGATTGCCAATGACATTCAGGAACTATCAAAACATCCATTTCTCCCATGTGACAGTAGTCTACGTACTGAGCCTTGTTCAAAAAAAAGGTCAAGACCGATGCACAATCCGTACTCACTCACATCTCCATCAGACGCTAGGTAAACACATCGGGGGTCAGACGAGCTCTCATCCTCGATCGGAATATAACTTACCCATCGTACTTGGCCTCGATCAAAAGATCCCCACTTTCACTGAAAATCGGATCCTTGTAGAAAAACGTTCCACCACCGGGAATGACGAACCGGGAAGCCCCAGTCAGATTGGTCTGAAGCTGCGTAGCAACGTCTAGCAAAGGGATCTGGACGAGCGCATCCACGAGATTTGCCCTGAGGTGCTCCCCGTAGGGCGGATATACGACGCCAAACGGCCATTCACCCCAGCTTGGTTTGCCTACGTCGAACATGGCGGATGGGTCGCTGGGTAGGTTCAGGGAAATCCTGAGCCCACCCTCTTTCACCGAGTCTAGGGTCGCGTTGATACTCCACGTGGCTGTCACTTTCGATCTGCGCCATCCACTGATCAGAGCCATACACAACAGAAAGCGAACGAAGGTAGATAAAGACGTACTCGCATCCAGAGGCCCAGACAAAAAACCAGTCCTGATTCTTGAAGTGCAACGATGTCGTTCCAGACAGTGACATTTGATTAGTGCCCGGATGGAGTTCAAGCTTACTGCTGCTGCTGGCTTCCTCGGGAGTCAACGCCATAAGATATCAAACGGTTCAGGGTTTGAGCGATACTTACTCCAGAGCTCCAACTTGATCTTTGGCGGCGAATCTTCAGTATACTGGTCCGGGGGGGACCACCTCCACTGAGTGCTGCTCCATGAAACCGGCTTAAACCGGAAAAAGCTCGAATCACTATCCTTGACAGATCCGGGTCCAACATGGAGGTATTTCTCTGGGTGAGAAATTTGTTGCCCCGCGTGAATATTGCGGTCCGGCTGGATCCATGAATAGATGTATTGATTCAGCGTATTCAGGAGGGGGGCTGTTTCTCGTAGCAGATAGCTTTCCATGAAGACCTCCTTGCTGATGCAAATGGTACCATCCATGTCTGGGGTCACGAAATTGCCGGAGTACGGCAATGGGTCGCTGGGAAGATCCAAATGCTGCGTCATTTCCAGATACAGAAGGACATTATGGTCACCCTTGTCACCGGGACCCTCCGTAGGATACTTTGCGCCTGGCTTGATGTACTCGTAGTTTTGAAACTTGAGCGAAGTCGGTGGAAAAGTCGGCGCCGCTTGATTGACCGAATGGGGATCGATCGCCTTCGATGCATATCCGATCGTTACTGCAATGGTGGCAAAGGCGGATCTCGCCCCGGATGCGATCGACGCCTACTTCGACGGTTTTAGCGATGTGATTCGAAGCACATGTGATGGAGGCGCCCCTGACAAGATCGCGAATGCGCCAGCAGACAAGAGCACTGCCCGGAATAACGAGACCACTCAGCGTGCAGCCGCATCGACGAAGGTCAAATGGTCGCATTATCAGGTATGGATTTCTTCTATCCACATATCATGCATGACAGTTGGATGCTCACACAACCAGTGTACGCATGGCGGTGCCATCCAAGGCTCGCGGGTCCAGAGCGAGGGAAAGCTCCAAAGTAGCGATTCATCGTTCGACGACTTCTGGACAGATGTAATTGCCCCCCTCATTGATACCTTCGCGTCGATGGCCAAGGAGGCTGGATTGGCGCTGTTTCACCTCTTCAGCCCAGCGGACTCGATCACGCCGCGGCAAGCACTATCGCAGCTCGGCTCAGACATGTTGCTGAAGCTTCTAGACGGCATCAAGAGAATAGCCAAGGGGCTCGTCAGTGTCGGATCTACCCTCATTCGAGACATCAAGTCCGCGTTCAACTACAAAATCAACATCCCCATTTTCTCGTGGCTTTACAAACATGTTCTCTCCGGGAATGACCTGACCGTTCTGGATGGCTTTGCATTGGTCGTTGCCATCCCTGTGACTGTCTTGACCAAAATCGTCACAGGTGAACGTCCTGCGGATATGACAACCCTCAACTACGGAGATCTGATGGCTGGGACTGCCGACGCAACCCAGATGATGCAATTCAGCCAGTTTGCCAGCTCCTCCAGCCTCTGCTGCCGACCTTTCCTGGCCGCGCTTGAGCTGGTCGAGACGGTTTTTGGGGCCCAGCACGCACGATTCCAAGCCTGTCATATCAAACAGTACGGCCGGGTCCAACCTCTTGCATCGGGCGGAGACCTGGTGACGAAGTATTGGAAGGACGTGTTTGCGGTGATTGTAACTGTGGCTACAATCCCGTTTAACCCTGCTGAGACTGCTTACGATCTCCGATGGGGGAGCTGGGCAGTGTGCACTGTCAATCGAGGCGTGGATATGGCCATCCGACGGGTGACGGCGGCGGGGCCAACGAAGAAGGCTCTCGGGATGGCGACCATCATGCTGGGCAGCGTGAACTACGGTCTCGTTATCGCGGCCCGCATCGAAGAATTCCAGGCGCCAGGCAACCAGGAAGCGCTAGTAGTCCTCGACTGTGTCTCGGGAACATTTGATCTGGTGGATACTGTCTGTCACGGCGCGGCCCAGCTGGATGTCGGTAAGTTGGGACCTTCGCTTTTATACTCGACATAGGGATATTATAGACTCACTGACCGTTTCGCGTTATTTCAGATCCTGAGTCCGCAGCTGCTCTCGAGGTGGCCTCGATGGCGACCGGCATCTTCGCCATCGTTATCACCGGTGCAACCTATATCACGCGTGCTGCGGAGGGGGAGTATAATCACATTATTTCGTACCTCTAATCAACCCTTGATTTCCAGGGAGCAAGTATGGAGCGGGTATGGAGAGTATGGAGAGGATGGAGAGGATGAGTTTGTGGCTGGATTCCCAAAAGGGTAACAGCCTCGGCTCACGGCTATCACAGGAAAATAACTAATCGTCCCCGCATGATTGGCAGTCTCTCCAATCCCCAGTACTTGATACCTATATTTTTCTCGCAAACCATTCTCAGATCAGCTCTAGATTAGTATTGACCTTTTATCTCTGTACATACCTCTGTATAGGAAAACCTCAAGCTTCCGCAGACCCCCCCCCCATCATGTCCAAGACCTTCACCCGCGCCGAGGTCGCGAAACACAACACCGAGGACTCCCTTTGGTGCATCATCGACCACCGCGTCTATGATCTGACCGACTTCCTGGACGCTCACCCCGGCGGCAGCGTCGTCCTCGCCCAAGTCGCCGGAAAAGATGCGACAACAGACTTCTACAATCTCCACAGACAAGAGGTTATCGAGAAGTACCGCGACCAGCTCTGCATCGGCACCATCGAGGGCGAGACTCCCGAAGTCATCTCGCCCGAGCCGGGCAGTCTGAGCACCGTTCCCTACGCGGAACCCCTCTGGCTGCGGCCGGAGTTCAAGAGCCCCTACTACAAGGAGAGTCATCGGCGGTTGCAGCAGGCGATGCGGGTGTTCACGGATCGGTACGTGACGCCTGAGGCGCAGGAGAAGGAAAGGGATGGGACGTATATCAGCCAGGAGTTGATTGATAAGATGGCCGAGGAGAATGTGTTGGCTATGCGGTTGGGTCCTGGGAAGCATTTGCATGGGAGGAAGTTGTTGGGGGGTGTGGTGGATGGGAAGGAGTTTGATTACCTGCATGATATGATTGTTGCGCAGGAGATGGTTCGAAGTAACGCGAGAGGTTGGTGCAATTTGTTGGCTCTTGGGCAGGGCAATGGGGCTGACGTTTTGCAGGCTTCCAGGATGGAAACATGGCCGGTATGGTCATTTCGTTGACGGCTGTCCAGCAGTGGCTGCGCAATGCTCCTCTGCGCGAGAAGGTCACCGAAGAAGTTCTGTCGGGTCGCAAGAAGATGTGCTTGGCCATCACCGAGGCATTCGCTGGCAGTGATGTGGCCGGTCTCAAGACGACGGCAACGAAGACACCGGATGGAAAGCACTACATTGTCAATGGCACCAAGTAGGATCGTCCCGATGTACTGACGTCTTAACTTTCCGTGATGCTAATCAAACGACGTTTAGGAAATGGATCACCAACGGCATGTTTGCTGACTACTTTGTCACTGGCTGCCGGACCGAAAAGGGCTTCACTGTGCTCCTTATTCCTCGAGGTGAAGGCGTCGAGACCAAGCAAATCAAGACCTCTTACTCCACCGCCGCCGCCACAGCATTCGTGCAATTCGAGAACGTCAAGGTTCCCGTCGAGAACCTGCTGGGCGAAGAACACAAGGGTTTCATCGTGATCATGAGCAACTTCAACCACGAGCGGTTCACCATGGTCTGCGCCGTCATTCGCATGTGTATGACCGTCACCGAAGAGTGCATGAAGTGGTGCAACCAGCGCATCGTCTTCGGAAAGAAGCTCATCGAGCAGCCTGTGATGCGTCAAAAGTATTTTCTCCTCTCCCCCTGGCTTGCTTCTGAAAATGATATGTTGCTGACCGTTGGTGCTAGACTCGCCCGAATGATTTCTCTCTGCGAATCCAACCAGGCCTGGTTGGAATCCATCGCTTACCAGATGTGCAACATGACCTATGCTCAGCAAGCCGCGCACCTCGGCGGTCCTATCGGCCTCCTCAAGTCTCACGCTACCCGCTCCGCGCAGGAAATCGCGGATCATGCTACGAATATCTTCGGTGGTCGTGGAATTACCCAGACCGGGATGGGCAGGGTCATCGAGATGTTCCACCGGACGTACAAGTTCGATGCCATCCTCGGTGGCACGGAGGAGATCCTGGCTGATCTCGGCGTGAGACAGGCGATGAAGAAATTTCCCAAGGCGATGCTGTAGATGGGTCCTGCAAGCGTGGCCCTCTACAGTTAAGTCTATCTGTAATCATATATCTTGTTCCTTTCTTAGATAGCGTTGCCTCTGTCTAAATATTGAGCTCCTATACCAGTCAGACTCGACATGCAATCAACCACACTAAACCTGCAGCGCTTCTTGTCTATGTTTCCTGCTCCTTGGCTTGATACTCAGGGTCCATACTTGTCTCAATGCGACGAGGAATTCCCAGTAGAGCTCGCCCTTGAATCCTCTGCCATATGGTCAATGTGGGACTTCTTTCGTATTCTGGGCCTTTCATGAGGGCCAGATGATCCAAATAGCACCTATGTTCTACACGGGAAAATAATTGAGTCATCTCACAATGACTCATGTCCGTTTCGCATACTGATTGCTGAAGCGTGAGTTGGGGATATTGCCTGATCAGGAAGGTCAGTCAATTCTGGGGTGGGCCTGCGGCTTCGATTCCGAAATCCTTCACAGTTGAGTAAAGAGCTTATGGTTAGCCGCAGACTCTAGTACTTTACCTATTGAGATGCAGTGGGCGGTCTTGGCGACAGGCGAGGATATACTTTGGTGTGAAAGAATGAGGTATTGCTTTTTGACTGTCCATGTGACATACCGACGTACCACCGGAGTGTCAAGCTTCGATGTCCCCTGCGGACGCAACTCTGGTGGGGTTGGGAATGGAATGTGATTCTTAAGCACCAAAGAGCACCCTCCATCTTCGTGGAATATGCGCGTTTCAATTGTATATTCTTCTTCCTACGGTTGACCATAATGCAACTGCTACAAGTCTCTGGGGCAGCATATTACGATTCCTTGCTCGGTCGTCGACCACAAAACCCGCCCCAGGATTTCACTCGCGTTCTGTATATTCCTCGTCACAGTTCAGCAACCGTGCACCTCCCGCTATATGATGTCGCGGAGCAGTATCATAATGCTGTCAAGGGATGCGTCCTGAACAGCAGCCAGTACGCAGTTCAACTGAGTATGATGGAGAAGCCGCGAGATGATGGGATGAACTGCGAGGTGGCCTATCATGTCAACCTAGATAGAAGCGCGACAGACAATGCGACAGTCCGATTGCAAGTGCAGCGGAGATCGTTGTTTGAGGATGGCGAGGCAATAGCGCAAGCGTATGTATTCGCCTAGTTGTAGTGACTTCACTGTACGTTTGTAATGTTGACTGCTGAAATGCATAGTCTGATTCGACCGCCTCATGACGGATGTCTACTCGCTATCGGCAATAGTCAGAAAGGAACTGACACGTGTTGCATGCTCATGGCAGCCTCCTTCCCGATACAACCGAGCATCCGAGGAAAATATAGCATCCCCCATCCTTATTTCACGTTCCTGCTGCCAGGGAAGAACAACAACCAACGGATAGTCCAATGGCAGGTCCACCCCAAGGAAGATAGCCTGCGTCGATACACATTAGTTGAAATAGGTGCGGCATCGGAAGGGCCTGACGTCGCGCTGTCGAAAGACGATGCGCGAGAGCCTAAAATTCTAGCAATCTACCATCATATCGGGATCGCCGTGTGGTTGCCAAAAGATTTCAGCGAAGGTGTGCTTCTGCTACCAGACCAAGCAGGGTCGGAAGATAACGAACGGGAGGCGTTGGTAGTTGCAAGTCTACTGGCTTTGCTTTGGCAACTGCGGGAGCAAGCACAAATGAAGCCGCGAAAATTGAAAAGTTGCCATTCTCGAAATTCCCAAAACATGTGGCAGAGGGCAATTTCTGTCCTTCACAGGCATTAGCTTGATCATCAATTGGTTGTTGGATAATCGAGTGGATCATACCATGACTTTCATATAATCAGATAATCATGCTGCTTTGTCAACTCAGGTGAATGAGTCTGTAATCAGTCAGAAGCCTGTAGAAAGGAAGGAAAGCAAAAGTTTAGTAGCATCGCTTACGAAAGTAGTCCAGGAAATGTTCCGATCATCGTCAGGGGCTTGCGCAGCCCTCGCAGCCCAGACCCTCTCTAATAATTCTCGAGGTACTGGATTGCGGAACTCAGACCTTCGCTCAATCTCATTCAAGCGCGCGATGACATAGTATTTGGAGTGAGGAGAGAGTGCATCCGATCCACCCATGAACAAGGGCAAAACAAGAAGCTCAAGGAGGCAACAATCCGAGGGAACTCTGGCTGTAGCGTCTAAGATCCTCGCCACACACTCCTGTATTTCATGGCTTCGGGATTGTTGTAATGGGTCTAACAAACGAAGGATGCGTAGAATACAAGCGTACTGGAATGCCTCCGCTGTGGACATCCATCGAGGATCAGAGCTTGGATATATTCTGGCTGTCCGGTCGAATGAGTAGAGCTTGTGCTTTGCCGATTGCAAAGCAACTCGATACTCATCGCATGATAACCAACCGAGATTGTATTCCTTTGCTTTCTCCAGGGCTTCTCCAATCACCAGGAAAATTTCCCTGGGGCATCCGTTAACTAGCTCGAACTTTTCATCGGTGGCACTGGCGACGGTTTCGCGAATGTCTTGAGAGAAGCACAATCGTTCAGGACCAGCAAAGGCACGAATGATGTCAAGCCTGGACAGAATTTGATAGTCAGTGGGCTGAGGTGCTCGATCACGGCGCTGACTGCAAATACCAGGCCAAATTTCCCAAGAAGAAGACCGCTCGTCGTCGCCGACTATTCAACCCATCCGCTAATAGTAGCTGTTTACACACTGACATTGCCCCGGTAATATGTATGCCATGGGTAGAGATACCCGTCTCAGCAATCTTAAGCTCCGTCAGAAGTCTTCCGAATGTAGCTAACAACGCGTTTCTCATGATGACTTACGTCGTGCAGAAGCAGAATCTGGATTATGGCGAGAACAGCATCTTGTTCGTCCTCATGCAGGAAATTAGGTCCCTGGCTCTTCCTGATTTCCTCGCTGAGAGCGCGTATGGCTCTCAGCCGATACTCGACTGCAGCCTCCTCATATAGAGACATATTTCCTGTCAATTTGCCAAGATGAGAGGCCGAGAGTCCAAGTATGGCATATAACAAGCCAATTTGTTTCTGCGCCAGTGGGAGTATATAGGCTCGATAAGGATTGCTGCTAGTACCACCTATCTCAGCAATTTGATGCGGGCATATGAAGCTTTCATCTGTGCCACTATGGCGTCAGTGTTTCTGCCTTCCAAGCTTCAGCCAATGAGATCTTACAATGCGACAACAACATCTCAGTCTGGGTGAGATTGAGTATCTTTGGAATGTCGTCTGGCAATTCCATTGCGTTTCTGCTGGGCTTCTCAGAAGACGGTCGCGTTGGCACGCCCTCTGTCCGTCCAGGCGTGTCCGAGCCCGGTGTTGGGGTAGTAGAGTCTTGTTTCGACTCAGCAATGCTAGATTTAGCTTTGGTGTTCCTTGGAGTCGGCACTCGTGCGCCTTTCCATCTTCCCCGACTAGCGATTCCGCAAAACCGGTACTGGTCGGGGTACCCGCCGCATTCTAAGCCTTTTGAGATGCAACGTTGACACTTAGGTCTACCCCGATCACACTTGCGGCACTTTTCCCGGCATGTCTTGCATGCAGGGCCTGCAGCGGTACCTAACGTCAGAAGTGGTTGGCTATGGTTGCACAGCATAAGATGAATAGATGGTGACAAACCAGCTCGTGGCATCCCGTAGGCAGCGGATGCACTTCAGAGGAGAGGGCGTGACTCTCACTCTCATAGAACAAGACGAGGTGTCAAGGTGAAGTAATCTGCAAAGGAAGTACTGAAATGACAATTATACAGCCAATCATATTCAATTGAAACGGTTTTCCAAGGCAAACATATAATGAGTAATCGAGGTGTTGGCGTTTTGTATATTTACCAACTCGTCTCAATTTCAGTCGAAGGTAACTTGTTCAGGTTCGATAATACGACCATGATCTTCGGCTGGAATCGATAACCGCCACCAAGTTTCGACACTTGTCTTCAAGCAGCTATTCAATATCTTGTAAGGTCTTGAAGATTTCCAACGATAGATTCGTTTGGTTGCATTAAGTTGATGCTGCTAAGCACTCCGAGGACACATATAGCTAGGCCGCATTCGGTAAGGCATCAGGTATCCATGGATGAGCTTCTGATCATTTTGCACGTGAATGTGGGGTGTTTGCATCATTTGTCTGATTATTCTACGCAGCTAGCTGATGCCTACATCTGTACTTCGCCACTACTATAGCCGTCATATCTTTGTATAAGACAAACATACTTCCCATTGATGCTTTGATTTGCACAGCTGGGAAGATGGCTGGAAGCACAAACACGCTCAACTCTGACAATGTAGTAGCTCTCGCTGCGAGGGCTCTTAGGGGAGACAATGACGGTCCGCTTAGCCTCAGAACACCCTACGAGGCTATTGCGCTCATCGGCCATGCTTGTATGAAGGCAGTCGACTTCAGGCTTCTCGGGCTCGGAGAGGAGCACAATATAGGTCTGTGAGAGAAGTTTATTCGTTACCTGTCAACCTTTACTGTTCTATTGTTGAACCTCTCTAACTAACGTGCTCGTTCGTAAGCAGAAAGCTCGACCGAAAACCAGACTTTACCCGCAGAGTGGAATGCTAACGATACATATTCATTTCGCTATGCTCATTCACAATCCTCCATGCAGTTCTTGCTGAAGATCAGTCGATTGGGGAATAATGCCGTTGTCCTCGCCTTGGCCTTAGGCGATGACAAAACCTCTTCTTTTGATCTGCCAGTTAAGGACTACATTTCCCAGTCCGCCCTTCCCGTCACTTCCACGGACAACTTGACGGAGACCCTAAGAGAGGTGTTCATTTCCGAAGCGCGGCTGAATGACTTGATTGGGCTGTTTAAAATGAACGTGATTCTGAAGCTAGCTCCTGGCCTGTACAAGGAAGGATACGAAGACACCAACCAAGCCATACGGGCAAGGCAACAAGAAAGGCCACCTCAATACGATCCCTTAAGGGACGATACACTACCTCAGCCTGCACGCCCTTATCCATTCGATGATCCCCTGGCAGCAGGTCCTCGTCGACCGGCGCCCCCAGGCGATTTTGCTCCCCCGGGATTTGAAGACGAATATGAAATCTACAGACCCCCTCGAGGATATCCCCAGGGAAATGGGGGTCGTAATCCCTTGAGTATTGGTGATAGAGATTTGTATCCTGCCGGGCTCGGTCCCAATGATCCGATTCGAGGCGGCGTTGGCCCTGGTCTCGGAGGGGGAGGCAACGGTGGCGGCATGCACCCAACATTTGACGACCCCTTGTTCGGTGGTCGCCGAGACGGTGGTTATAATCCGCAAGTTCCCCCTGGGTCTCGATATGATCCCGTAGGTCCCGGAGGCACGCCATTCGGACGAGGACGTGGAGGAGGATTTGGCGGAGGATTTGGCGGTGACATCATTTAGGCGCGCGGCTAAGTTGTAAGCTATTTGTAGCTGGCAAAAGCACACAAGACGGGCTCGAGTAGTAATTTTTTGCTGGATTCACACCAGAATGCGAAATAGCATGATGAAACCAAGCTATGAAAAAAGCACCTATTATCCGCAAGTATAGCTCTTTGTACAAAAGTAATCGCCTCGCCTTCTTGGCGTCGAGTAAGTCAACGTTTGGTCGGGGTTCGAAGGTCCTGGAGATCGTGGGGGGACGGTGTGGCTTGGACGAGCCAAAGTGTGGCGCATGCACGACACCTAACCTGCTCGTCCTCCCTGGCGTCGTCCAGCACAGCACTACAGCACAGCAATCCCTCCCCCTTCACCAACACCACCAGGTCGCTTCTCTCCCAACTTTCCATCTGCCATCCATCCCACAGTGTCCGAATTTTTTTCCCCGCCCGTTTAAGCTTATATTGTTCTTATTCAATTCTATCTCCTTTGTTTTGTGGATTCCCGCGTCAATACAACCGAGAAAATCCCTGGTCAGCCTCACGAGACCGTCCCCTCCCAGTCTCCCGCCCCTCCTCCACATTTGCAGTTGTCTTGAGCTTGTTGTCGGCCAACACAATGGACAACAACATGGAAATTGATCCGGCGCGGTCACCGGAGCCTCATCACCTTTCGCCCACAACCGACCCTGGGTCCATACCTACGCTCGATGGGTGGATCGAAAACCTGATGGCTTGCAAGCAACTAGCGGAAGATGATGTTCGGAGACTTTGTGATCGAGTGCGTCTTCCTAGATACGTGTCATCGACACCGCTATGGCAATGAAATCTAATTGAGGTGTGCGCGTTACAGGCTAGAGAAGTGCTGCAGGAGGAGTCGAATGTGCAGCCAGTCGTATGTGCTTCCCTCGGCCTGTTATTGCCGTGTGATTGATACGGATCGCTCGAGTTGTTGACCTGAATCTCTCAGAAATGCCCCGTGACTGTCTGTGGTGATATACATGGTCAATTCCACGATTTAATGGAGCTGTTCCGCATTGGAGGTCCTAATCCTGACACAAACTACCTCTTCATGGGTATGTGGATATTTCACCCTTGATTCGTTCTTTTTCTCTTCTTGCTCCTTGACTCATGACAAACTCGCGTCTCCAGGTGACTATGTCGACCGTGGTTACTACTCTGTAGAGACCGTCACCCTTCTTGTCTGCCTCAAGATCCGTTACCCCCAGCGAATCACCATTCTCCGAGGAAACCACGAGTCCCGCCAGATCACACAAGTGTATGGATTTTATGACGAGTGCTTGCGCAAATACGGCAATGCTAATGTCTGGAAATACTTCACCGACCTCTTCGACTACCTTCCTCTCACCGCTCTCATCGAGAACCAGATCTTCTGCCTGCACGGCGGTCTGAGTCCCTCCATCGATACTCTTGACAACATTCGTTCTCTGGATCGGATCCAGGAAGTTCCTCATGAGGGACCCATGTGTGATCTGCTCTGGAGTGACCCCGACGACCGATGCGGCTGGGGTATTTCTCCCCGTGGTGCTGGTTACACCTTTGGGCAAGATATCTCGGAAGCATTCAATCACAACAACGGCTTGACTCTTGTTGCACGAGCACATCAATTGGTTATGGAGGGATACAATTGGTCGCAGGATAGAAATGTGGTCACCATTTTCTCGGGTACGGCCCCTTTTCCCCGCTCGTGTCTATGCACACCACTAACCCGCCGTTCTCAGCCCCCAACTATTGTTACCGCTGCGGTAACCAAGCCGCGATCATGGAAATTGACGAGCATCTGAAATATACATTGTATGTTCCATTAAAAAGCGAAATTGTTTATCTGTACTAACCGATTTTCTCAAAGCTTACAATTTGATCCTTGCCCACGCGCGGGAGAACCAATGGTCTCGAGACGTACACCTGATTATTTCCTGTGATGTGATTACAATAGACCGACTTTTTTTAATCACTACTGGCAAGTTGAGCTTCTACGACCCTTCGAGAGGGCTACTGGGATGCTGGGAGCATACGAAAGGATCCACTTGTCACAATAATTGTATGTCCTTATTTCAGGCCGTGTTGATACCAATTATGAAAATAAAAGACGTTCGCAAGAATATCTATCATTCTTCCCTCTTGTCTCTGACCATCAATTCTACCGCGGTCATGGCGCTCCGTGTGATGCCATCAGTGTTAAGTATTATAGAGAGCCTCGTCTGCATGCTTTACATAGCACCGGGGGATTTCAAAAGCAAACCTGGAGGACTTTAGCTGATCCGAATGGAAGCAACGAAGATGATACTTACCCCCGTCCAAGTTAATGATTTGCCCGTTAATATAAGTCCCAGCCCTGCTGCAGAGGTAAAGAACAACACTGCCAATATCGGATTCCCGGCCAATGCGGCCTATCCACCAAATATCAGCTCACTCGCGTCCACAAAGCATAGATACCAACTCCATAAAGCAAGACTCACCAGCCGGAAATCTCTTCCCTACCTCTTCCTCCAGCCTGGACTTCCGATCCTCATCAAACCTGCCCATACTAATCTCATTCGGGAAAACGCCCGGCGCAATACAATTCACACGAATTCCCAATGGCACAAAGGTATGCGCCCACTCCCTCGTCAGATGTATCAGCGCCGCCTTGCTCGACGAATAGGCAAACTGGCCCTGCGAATGCGTCTTCGTCAACCCTGCCACACTCGCCACATTCAGCACAACACTCGAATGGCCCGGTGCCGCTCTCGATCCCTTATCAAGGAGCGGCAGCAGCGCGGCAGTGAGGAAATGGTGCGACCAGACGTTGCCGGCGTACGCGATGCGCCATGCGTCCGCTCCATCGCGGGTCATCCATCTGGAGACGGAGTCCGGGTCTGTGAAGTCGACGTCGGATGATGTGGCTTTCGCGCGGGGCTCGCTGGTGACGCCTGCGCTGTTGACGAGGATGTTGATGCCTTGTTCCTCGGCTCTGTTGAGTTCGGCTGCGATGCCGCGGATTCCGTCTGTCGTGGAAGTATCCCCTGGGAGTCTGAAGTAAGTTATCCTCGTCAGCAACAAGCGTCAGGGAAGGTGGAGGATGGGACGCACGGTATGATCTGTCCGTTGAACGAATATTTCTCCCCAACCGTGTCGAGGATCTCTTCCCTGGTCCCGATGATGTAGACTCGAGCGCCGTTTGCTGCTAATGTCTGCGCGGCCATGAGGCCGATGCCGTTGCTTGCTCCTGAAACGACGGCCACATAGCCCTTAACCTCGAAGAGTGTGGCTGCCTCGAGGTCATGGGCATTGATGTCCTTGAAGTTGTATCGGGGTGCTGGATCCATCTCGTTAAGATTCTTCGGCTCTGCAGATGAATAGATATCAGTATGCTGAGTATGTTGAAAGGCAAAATAATTGTTACTGGACCGGGGATGGGTGAGACATTTGTAAGAGTGATGGCATGTTGACATGTTTTTGAAGTCATCGCCTCGGTGTACTGCAACTCGCTGTTGCGTACAGTCAACGCTGCTAGCCGCTGCTTTGCGTGTGATCATAATGGATTTTCGTTCTAATATACTAGCTGTCGGGAGTTGTAAGCTTGTACCTTATTGAGAGCATGTGGGAAGTGAAGTTGAAGATGAGCGAACGAGGTCACGCATTGTCTGATTCAGAAACTCCAAAGCAATCCATTTAGCGTGGCAAGGGCGTTCAAGAGATAGTTCCAGTTAACCTTCACACAGAGATCTCTGGTAAAAAGGAATGAGTAATTGCATTGGCTGATAGAATGAAGTAGACAGGGGAGAACGCATAGAATTTCCCTTCCATGAAACATTTGTGTACAAGACTGCGAGTCGAGAAAGGTTTACCGCATTAGGTACAGGCAGAGCGCTAATGAACGATTTGATATAGACCTAAATTCGAAGTCCTTGTGCCTTCTTTGCCAGAATCTCTTCAACCTCTTTGGCATGTTTAGAAAAATTGTCCACCAGATTATCCCACATCTTCGGCTCGTGCTCGTGCTTCTTGTCGCTGTTCCAGGCATAGTCTGTAATTGTGAATGGCCGGCTGGACTCGAACATGAACGCAATCGATGCCTCTGAAATCTGCATCACAGGTGGCGGGTTCTCGGTGGCAGCCTTGAATTCCTCGTACGCTACACCATGGGGGACCACTGACCATACAGTTAGCATCTTATGCAAGCAACAGAATGATCATGCCGGCTACTCACTTCCACACTCAAAGGAAATGCTTCCGGGCCTGAAGGCATCCGAGCGGCCACCATATTCACCGTAGATCAGGCCCATCAGTTCGGAGGCAACATTGCGGTGATAGTAAGGCGGTCGGTAAGTGTCTAGATTTGTTAGCACGTCGATGGCATGTCTTTGTCTTTGTGAGGAGAACTACTTACGAGACGCTACATCCCACCGGGGAGAGAAGATGAGCAAATCGGCCAAAGGTGAAGTGAGGTCGCGGGACTTGGCTGTGAGTACACAGAAAATAGATGGATCAATATGATCGACGGAGATTGAGCCGACATTGACGAATTTTGTCAAGTCATACTTGTATGGAACCTATTGATGTAGGGTCAGCTTCGCCTTCTATAGTGGAAACCACGAGGAATGAGACATACATAATTACCATGCCAGGCAACAACATCGAAAGGACTGTGATTCTGTGTGCTCCTGAAGAATTTCCCTCCGAGCTTATAAATAATCTCCCAGGGTTCCTGAGCAACCTCATACTTTGCCTCAGGAACAAGGAAATCTCGAGCATTAGCCAAACCATTTGCTCCGAGCGGCCCCAGCTCGGGCAGCTCAAAGCAAGTTCCCCAGACTTCGAGGATATACCCACGAGAAGGGCCGTCAGGAAGCTCAACGCGGAAGCGAAGACCTCGCTGGATGACGACGATTTCTCCGGGCTGAACAAACAATGGACCAAATTCAGTCTGAATGTCCAGGGCACCTTGTTGAGGAATGATGAGGAATTCACCATCAGAATTAACAAAGGCTTTCTTCTTCATGCTGATATTGGCCGTATAGACATGAGTAGCGAGACCCTCGCGAAGTGTCGGGTCTCCTGATCCTGCTACAGTCTTGAGACCGGAGACAAAGTCTACCTCCTCACCAGTCGGAATCTCAAATGGATGCCATGCTAGCTGAGTTGGAGAGACGTGCACTCGAGGGTTTAAGGGCAGGAAATTCGACTCGGTATCTTTGTTGTCAGGAAGATCGGTCTGTAGCATTGTCAGCACGATTCCAATGCTCGAAGTGCCGTCAACGTACGAATCCCTGGTGAGCAACCGCCGGACGAGCACGATACAACCATGCCTTCTTGTTGCAATGCCGCGGGGCGACAAAAGCTGTCGCGGTGATCTGCTCGGCATACAGGCCGAATCTCACATTACGAGGACTGTTCTGGCCCTGTGGAATGGTACCAGGAACAGCCTCGGAGACAAATCTATAGAGAGGTCTACATCAGCAAGTTGAATCGCTAGATGTAGCTGGGCACTATACATACGAGTTGCCGAAGCCGGCTTGATACTAGAGGACTCAGCTATCACGAAGACACAGATAAGCGTAATGAGAACGTACCTGGTAAGGATCATTCCGTCTCGTGTTGAAAGAAGGAATGGTGCCGTCTTTTTGAGTTTCTGCCCAGTGGAATATCTTCTGATACTCCAGGGGATCCGATAAAGCGCTTGTAGAGGCCATGATTGCGGTTCAGTAGGAAATGATCAAGTAGTGAGTTCAGAGAAGCTCGATCTTCAATGGGTGCAATAGTGACCAATATCCAAGGGAAACACGAAGCCTCATATACCCTCTCCGACAGGGTCGACGAAAGTTGAACCAGAGCCATGATCAAACCAAATATTTTGCCGGACAGGCCCTCATCCGAATCTCCGAGCACGATGGAATTGGCGAGTGCTATTTTGGCTTCTGATGGCGGCGACGTCAGCTCGATTCAGGGCAGGTTGACCCAAAGTCCATACAAATCGGCATGTTGGAGAGGCCTTGCGTTGCCGAAGCCAAGTAGAGTGGAGCTCGGGGAGGGGAGATCGTAGGTGGAGCGATGTCGAGTCATCTTTCTGCTTTCATCGCATGGCTTGACAAACCCCACATGAGTAAGCTCTGAGTAACGCGGAGAGATGATGCTTTCGTGGAGAACAGTTCTTGATGGACGGGAATGAGTCTGTAGGGGAATTGCCGAAGGAGGGGGATTCCGAGGAGAAAATGAAGGTCAGACGACAACGCCCTGTGCATGATGTTGGGAACAGGCGGCTTGGCTGTACACAATCGGATTTACCCCAACTTTAGTCTCTACTTCATTCAATTTCTGAGCAGATCTCGAATTTTCAATGGCTGGGATCTAATTCAACAGGCTGATTTTGCCTGCTGTCAACGCAAACACTATTGGAAGGTACGCTCGGATCCCGGCCTCTCTCAGAACCTTGAGGTGCTCTACTCTTCGTCGAGACGCAAACTGCGCCTCGGTAATCTCCTTACACTCTCCCAGGGGCCCATAGGCGAACCGTCGGTCTTCTGACCACGGAGACATGCCGTTGACAAACTGTATCCAACACCTCCGCATCTGTTGGCCCACTTCATTTGCAGCGGGGTTGAAGGAGAGATCGAGTCCTCCAAAAAGAAACAGGAGGTCGACTGCATGGTGAGACCGACTTGAAGGCTGCCATGGATTTGGTTCGTCGACAACGTATCTGAAGACGCGTTTGTTCGCAGCTTTGAGCTTGTCCGTGACCAGCTCAACAGGGAAGGTGTATCGGGCGTCATTGACGAAATCTAGAGCGCCCAGTTTGCAGGCAGTAGGACGATCACGGACGACCTGGTACATCTTGCGCAGTTTTGTGCCATAATTTTTGTCAGTCTCGAAAGCCGCAGCAATCGATGCTCCGTCGAAGGTCTCGATTCCGTTTCTCCAAATGACAGACTATATAAGTCAGACTATGCGAGGGGCATTGTAAATGGGAGAAGGATGGAGAACATACCTCATATTCAGTATCACCAATCATGAGTTCTTCGACTTGTTCTGGCTTGTTCTCCCAATCCTGGAAATCGGAATCCTCCTGTATCCACATTGTATTCACATTGCACTCTTGTAATGCGCAAATCAGAGACTCAACAGACGAATGACGCAGCGACTCTTGTCCCAACTCCTGCACCTTGCTTTCGAGTGTGTTGATGAGTGCATCGCCTCTTTCGACCGGCAACGGTGAAGAGAGGTATAGCGACCCGGATGCCAGGACAGCTCTTTGGACAGGAGGGCCGGTAATCAGATGCGCATGAACATAAACTGCTCCTGCGCTCTCTCCAGCAAGTGTGATGTTATTCTAGAGTAAGAAAAGACATTAGCATCAGGCGTTCTTAAGCAGCGTTGGATCACCTACCGGATCACCCCCAAATTCTGCGATGTTCTTCCGCACCCAGTCAATGGCTAACCTTTGGTCCTTTATCGCGAGGTTTTTCTCCTTTCCATCGCCAAAACTAAAGATATTGAGACGGTAGTTGAAAGAGACGAAGATAAACGGCCGACCCTCCTTGATAGACTCAGCGACGATTCGAGTCGGGTCTATGGGTACTCAGGCATCAGCATCGAAGGAATAAGTAGCAATTCAGATCTCTTACCGCAGATCTTTGATTGAGCAGAACAAAATGTAACAACTTGAGAACCGCCTAAGAGACTGCCGTTAGCACAATCAATGCCATGGCTTGGTATCCCTGCAAATCTGCCATCATACCATATATCCAGACCAGAACAGGAAGAGGGCCATTAGTGCTAGACAGAGGAGGACAGGTAATGTCCAGATTCAGACATTCAAACTCATCCTCAGCCTCGGGTTCGATCTCGAAATCCTCCGGGATGCGCAACAAATGACGCATGTCCACATGAACCTGCGGACATTTTGGTCTGTTTCAACATCAGTTTTAGTATACCGAATTATCTCTCCATAGATGATGAAAATGGCTTCCTCGAGCTTAGGGACAAGACATACCCATATTTCGTAGCATCAACGACGCCCCCGTTGAAGCTTTCCACAGGCTGAGCACGCTCGAACCGTGCCGGTATTTTGGCATACTTGATTCCACGGAATTGATCAACTATGATACCGTTGAAATCCTTCCGAACGCCTGTAAAGAGTGCCTGAAGCCCTTGATGTTGTACTTGTGGAGCTGCCATATTCGCAGATTCAAATTTCAATCGGGTAGTCAGGGACGAGGAGGAAGCGTGGAAGTAGATTATGAAGCAGGTAAGGTTCTCGAGCTGTCTGTACTACCCATGGCCCTCTTTCTTCTCTGAATTCGCTCCATTACGTCGGTTGTTATGCTCTCTGTCAATTCCCGAAGCTCTCAACACCCCCATGCTGACGAGCATGCTTGCTGTGGGGCTGTTGCGGGGAGATCCATCATCCACCCCTCATGGGTATTGAAATATTGTATTGTAGCTCGGATGATGAGGACGGAATAACGGAGAGTCAGAATAACCAAGAAGTTTGGTTCTCAAGATATGATAGTAGCTCAATGGCAGGGTTGCCTTGAGGTCCGAAGCGCGTGTAGAAGCTGTTGGTTGCTGGGGTGAATCAGTGAATGGTTCTTAGTTCCCAAAGACTACAGACTTTCTGATACTAGCAACTACCAACGAATTATTTCTTTATGATGAGAGATTTTCCTACTTTTTAAAATTACATTATATATACGGTTTCGAGGCTGCTCGAGCATATGGTCTGTTTGACGCACGATCCCAGTATGTGTTCCGCGTGCCTCTACAGCCTATCCAGCTGCTTAGGCAGACTGACTCTCAGCATGCCGTTCTGTAGGCTTCCATATACGGCCACCCAAAAAAAGCAAGATAGGAATAGCAGACACGCCCGTTAGCAGACCTAAGACCCAAGTCATTGTGCCCCAGCCAGCGCTTTCTCGGATGAACCCAGCCAGGAATGGCCCGACTATGGACCCAGCTGCAAAAGCAGAGTTGAGGATACCGTACGCAAGTGCCATTGCGCCTCCTTTGCCGAAGACGCCGGGTGACTCAGCTTCTTTCTCCTGAACAACGTACGAGGCCTCAACAAAGAGCGGTGGGATCAGGAAGGCCAGGCAGAGCCCGATCAGAGCCAGCAGCACACAAAGCACCACTTTGTGGTTCATAGAATTTGTTGTGACAAGTCGGAGAAGCACGAACAATGGGACTGTGGTGAGGAGTGCTCCAGCAGCTACAAAGCGCCGAGCTTGGGGGAACTTGTCGTTGATGTACCCGAACAACGGATCCAGAAGATGAGGCACCGACACTGGGATGAATATAAGCCCTTGGGCTGTCTGTTTCCACCCGAATGTATCCTGAACGAAAAGAGGAAGTACGCTATCGAGAGACGTCAACGCAACCGACACAATAAAGTAAGCCCACAGCGTGACAAGCATTCGGTCCGAGGCCAACAGGGTGGCAACAGCGCCAAAGCGTCTCTTACGAGGCATATGTTGGTTCGCATCCCAAATTGTATCGTCTCGCGGTGTCGGGTTCGATGCTGCGTCATGCTCGTTGCGACTGTTACTGTCGCACTCGTCAGTCGGCAAAGGAAGAATCACACGCCCATCCGTAGGTTGCTTTTCCGTTGGATTGTCCACCGGTTCTGTTGACTTTGCGGTGTGAAGCCACTTCAGGGCATCTTTCCTCTCAATTAAGACGAGCCGCAAGAAAATATCAAAGCCGATTATACCGAATGCGAGACCGAAAACAGCGTAATAGCCTCCGTTCTCATATATAACACCCCCAAGGAGGGGGCCCGTCATTGTCCCAAGTGTGATGCCCATTGCCGCATATCCCATCGCCTCACCCAGAGCCTCTTTTTCAATCGTGTCAACTAGCAGGGCTAGTCCGACTGTCCAAACAACAGCTGCCGATGCCCCTTGAAACAAACGGCCGGCGATCCAGAGGCCCAGGGTAGTGCCTACACAGAGCAACGCCGTAGAAGCACCCAAGGCGACCAGCCCTATCAGGAGAGGCCAGCGCCTAGACTCTATCCGATCTGCTAGGTAGCCGGAAATAGCTGAATTCGACGAGAAGGTGAGTAAAATCGTCACGATATAGTTCGGGGGCGAAGGATGGTCAAACTCACGGGAAGCTGCCAGCAGTGCCGCTCCGTACAAGGCCAACAAGATCGAGGTCCATGATTGTTCTGATAGTAAAAGGTTAGATCCAGAAGGATAGAAGAATCAAATATCAACACATCTCGAAAAGAGGGATGCATACCATCATCCTCAGATAAACCGACTCTCTCATGCAATGCAGTAGGAGTCACAGGAACGATCTATATCACATTAAGATCTTGCACTTGAACCATTACATGGTAGCAAACGACAACTTATGGCAGAAAGGTCAACTTACAAGCCCATATAGCAGGATATCCTGACATAACTGGTTTTAGCATGTTTTTCTTTCGAGGATACCATCCGTTTCTGCCAACTTACAGTGAATGTTGCGAAAGAGACCACAAATATGACGAAGACTTTGGAAGACCTTAGCTCGAGGAGAACCGGTCGCTTAGGTTTTTTTCCATGTTTTGACAGCAGGCTGCCTAGGACCATAGCGAAGATGAGATTAAGCTGTACCGCTGAGATAGCATGCGGGTACTCGAGCAACAGAGACCACAAAATGTAACCGATTGGCACGGAATCCTAGTATCTAAGCATGGGGACATCGCCAGAGGCACATAACGAAGAAGCCAAAAGAGATAAATAATTTGGAGAAACTCGAAGATTAAAATACGTAGGCGATGATTCAATTTCAGGTGGCTCGGGGTCCGCGGGCCCCGGGAATGAAGGAATCCTCCCGCATTATCCAAGAGATCCAATTTGGTGGATCTATCGACCACGAAGCACAAGATTGGGCTATCTGCCTGTACGCGTTGTCGGTTTCTATATCTATTGACTCGAGACACATCATGTCCCTAAATCAAAAACCAAATAAAAAACCGGCAGTGGAATAGTATCACTCCATCGACTATGTACATCACACTATATGCTCCATGACCTTGGGCTAGAGGGTTCTGAACAAAGCAAGTACCTTTGCAAACTCATCTAGCGACACTTGGTCAGCGTGGTCAAATAAAACACTCCTTCTCAAACTTCCCTCCTTGTACGGCCCGTTCACTTGTCCGACATTGGGTGCAGGACCGTAGACTCGTGCCGTGAAGCCAGCTTCAACATCATTCTGGGCGATGGCGGGCCATGGTTTCATGCCATGACAGAATTTGAAAAGGTCTTCGGCGAAGGTGATTGCAAGCTGTTGCTGGTCTTGGCCCATAAACTCTCGGAAGTTCTGGAACAGGTACGCTAGATCAAGGATATGACTCGCTCGATCTTTCCAGGGTCCATCCCATGGATTCCCTTCGTTGAAGTAATAGACATATACGTCGTTTTTCCAGCCCTTTGCAAATGTCAGGACTGGTGCAAAGAAAGCAATGTCATTTATGTAGTTGAGAATTGATGGGAAGGCTTCGTCGTCTGTCATGTCCTTTGTGATGTTGTACTTGTCCAAGATTTGTTGCGTAACATCTGATTTCGATGAAAGGACGGTGTTCATCGCGGTAACGAACTTGCTAGCACAGTCTTTCTTCGTATGAGACATCAAAAACGCCATGATACTAGCCTGGAAGGAGAGAGAGTCGCAGTCAGTAGACGACTTGAAAGCGATTCATGACGACTTACGTCCATCTGAGCGTCGCCAATCATTAGATCTTCGCACCACTTCTTTCCGCCGGGAAAGTTAGAGCCTTTGTCAGCTACCTGCGCATAGGTAACGGCCGAGGACACCATGACTCCATCGATTGCAGGAACTGCTAGAACAGCTGGAGGGATTTTGGCAACCAAATCCTCACCCGGTATTTCCAGAAGGGCCTTGATCCTTTCCTCTGGACTGACATCGGCCAGCTCTAATGCTGCAATGGCTTGCTGGTAGTTCTGCTCATGTACATCGTAAGGCAAGGGTTGGATGAGTAGACAGGTACCACTCATCACAATAGCCCTCTTGAAGAGTTGCTCGTCAGAATCGAGGTGATACGTTACACACGCTAGCAAAGACTCAGTATGCCTGTAACGTAGTGTAAGATAATGATCAGCCGGACATACCTCCTCCAGCGCTCATCCCCGCGAGTGTCACATTATCAGGATCTCCACCAAAATCTGCGATGTGTTTTTGCACCCATTTCATGGCCACTTTCTGATCTCTGAGCCCGTTGTTGGCTTTGTACCCTGCCCGTCGAAGTTCATCAGAAGTAAGGAAGCCAAATGCACCGAGACGATAACTGTTTAAAGTGAGTCCTCGCCCATCTCGCGTCAGGATGAGTGGCCTTACTTCATAGAAACAGCCACTATGGGTAAATTCTTTTCAACAGATAACTTGACGAACCGCGCGTAATCGAATTGTGGCCAGGAGTTGGCTCCAAGCACCAGCCCTCCACCGTGAATGAAGAGAAACACTGGAAGTTTGGAGGCTGCTGTTGTGCCCGCCGGGATGGTGATATTCAGATTGAGACAATTCAAGTCTGATTGAGGAAGCTCTTTCTTTGGCAGGGTATGCTGAATGTGGCCCAGCTCAAAGTCACACCCGAACGAAGGAGACAAAGCAGTTGGGCTAGAGAGATTCCTTGAATTAGTCCACTGACGTGTGGTATATTTTCTGACCACTCTTACCCATCCTTGCTCGCGTCGAGAATACTGCCTTCACGCTGCTCGACGAGTTCCGCGTCTGCGAATCTGTCTTTGAGAGTAGCGTATTGAATACCCAGAAACTGGCTCACACCGTCATGAGTCTTGCCTCGAACGTCACCCAGCAATCTCGTTTGAAGAATGGTTGCCATTGTAAAGAATCTCACTGAGTGCAAGTTGTGAAGGTAGCAGACTGATGCGGGGAAATGTAGAAAAGAAGTCAACAGCATCCAGAGCCTTGTCCATGGCTTTTGAACGGTCTCTCTGGAGGACAATCCAAGGACTCAATTAGCCTCCTGATTGGCAGCTCTCCATACTTCGGTAATAAACTTACCCAGTAATATGCCATGATCTTCGATTGTCAGGTTGTCAACAGAGCTGAGGGGTAATTCCGAACCATAGGGTTTCTCCGACTTCGTTCCCCGATTTCGTGGTCAAGTCCTTCTTGGCTTGATATGCGGTAGAGATGCCAATGGCTTCACTAAATGGCTTCGCTGAAGCGAAGGGTTGTGCCAGACATCCTCCAAGCCGAGCCAAAGTCGAGGTGTTGACGCTGTCAAACTGAGGTGAAAGACACAGAACCCTTAGATATTCATCGGATATCCTCCATCATCAGGGCCATTGCCCCGCAATTCCCCCACATGGAAATGCCGAGAGGCCCGAGAGTGCCTTAAAACGAAGAGAAATAGACCTTACGGGAGAACCGTGAGTTGAGAATATGGTGGATATACAGTGTATCTACGATGTCTTTTGAAATATCCAAAAGTCTAGCACATTTGAAGCATCGGTAACGGTACTTCATGTATAGATTCTGAAGACATATTTCTTAATCATATATCCATCATATCCAAGCATGGATATACCATATCTAAGCATGTATATACCATAGATATACAGTAGCTACTACATGGCAATAGTGTGGAAGTATGATGTAAGCCATGGATTGGTTTCTAGAGATATATGGCTCAGCCATTCAGTAACATTCCTTAAAGCTACCACCATGGATCCATACTAGATCTACCAGAAATATTAAAAGTTTCCCTATTTCCACGGAGTATTGAAAAGTTATACATGATCCATCATATCTTCAACTCATGGTTCTCCCGCTAGGGAGTTTCTGTATCGCTGAGGGATTTGATTGGAAGATGTGCAAAGTACTGTGTGGTATTTATTGTTGAGCAAGCAATGATGCATACGACATGTGCGAAACGTATGCGAAGAAGTATAGCCGGGTAAAGACAACGATTATATTCAGTACTAGACTTCAGGCGACAGAGAACCAAAATGTTGTAGTGCAGACCATCCTCGAGGATGTGGATGTGGCGACCTCTATTACTCTGGCAACAAGCTGTTAGTAACCGTATCTTATCCTACAAAGACAGTGTATATACGTGGGGAAAGGAGATCTAGGATCTTCCCAGTCGCGCCTCAACACCATATAGCGGTCCTACACCCACAAGGAGGCAAGAAGGAAGCAGTTTTCAGATATTTGGAAGGTTGGCCTCTTCATTCTGATCATGATTGAAAATTCATGCTGTAGCCACCAGTCTTGGGATCTTGGACGAATTTGAAATTATCCGTTGACAATCCAAATGGCTTGAGGATGCCGTTTCCGAGCTGCATGAAGAGTTAGTAGGGCTTCAACAGCGTCAGTATGGAAGAGTTGTCGGCTCACATCCTTCAGTTTACCCATCATCTCCGCCATCTCCTTCTCCCGTGCCTGGTTTATCCTCCCGGGCAACTCGCGAAGAGCCCTCTGCACAACCCGCTTGTCGTCTGCAGGTAGGTTGTCCATCCCGGCAAGCACTTTGTAGTCCTCTTCGGCGCCTTGTAAATTTCCCCAGCCGCCGAGCTGGCTCTTCGCTCGTGCACGTCTCATAAGCGCCTTTGCCCGAATCCGCATCACGTCGTTCCTTTTCTCGTCCATTCTCTGTAACCGTTTGAGCTCCTCCTCCTCTGCCTCTTCGTTCTCACCGGAAATCTCGACCACGGCGTCTATCTGTTCCGACGATTGAGGGGTTTGTTTCGTTTGGTCTTTATCCGGATTCTGCTGTGGAGACAGCGGGATGATGTTTTCGAGACGATCAAGACAGGCAGTTGCAGAGTCAACAGATGCCTTCCAGTCTTCCAGCTTCAGGTAGCATGCGGCCATGTTGCTTCGAAGGACGGCAACTTCATAGTCGAGGTAATTGGGACACGAGGCAAGGGCACGGTCGTAGCAGGAAATAGCCTGATCATAGCACGCAGCAGTAAACAGTTTGTTGGCTTCTGTTTTGATTTCGTGGGATTCTTTCAAGAGGCGCTGTTAGGACGGTCGATATGAGCATCAGCAACCATTTCTTAGGAGAGCGACAATCAGTAACTCACGGCTTCTTCTTCTGCGGGAAACCGTGCATCGTGGAAGACATCCTCGCCTTCGCTATCGGACCCAGGCTCGGGTTTCTGAGGATTCTTGTTCAGATTTTCTTCAGTCATGTTGCCTCGAAAGCGTTAAAAGAGAGTGGAAGCTCCCGAGAACGTAGCTTCGAAGCTTTGAGTGGATAGTTATCGACGATCGGGAAGCCCGTCGGACAGCCGGACTCGATGAACCCCGACCGTTCCCCTCGATGATAAAGCGGCATGAAAGAAATTCCCGACTGGGTTACAATCCAAGCCGATCGACACAAGAGTGTGGAGTAGCCTTATCTGAGCATCTTTGAACGACAATTGAAGATCTGCTCCTCTTGTCACTCTGCAGTATCCCTCTCGTCTGTACAAGGACTACTTCACGATGACCAAAACCGAGTCCGAGTAAGTTTTCGGGCCCAGATTCACCCAATCCCATGCCCATGGAATTTCCACCCCGCTGACTATCCCTCTCTAGTAGATTCCCCCCAGTGCGGGCATGTCTCTTTGATATGGATGGATTGCTCATTGACTCAGAGGACAAATACACAGAGATCACGAATGCAATTCTCCAGGAATTTGGAAAGCCGCTGCTCCCTTGGGAAATCAAGGCTCAATTACAGGGTCGACCACAGCCTGAGGTACTTCCCCCGCATCTTCTGTTCACTCAGTCATTGAGACTCGAAGGACTTGTCTCAACGCTCTGATGTTCTGTCCTAATCTTGTGTCGTACAGGCAAGCAAGATCTTCCACCACTGGGCTCAACTCCCCATCAGCCCCGAGGAATTCGGCGCGAAGCAGGCCGCCCTGCAAGCCAAGTACTTCCCCCAGTCCCAGCCACTACCGGGCGTTAAAACTCTCCTGTCCAAGCTTCTCTCCACCCAGAAAACGGACCAACCAGTCTACATAGCCCTGGCGACCTCGTCGCATAGCAAGAACTTCAAACTGAAGACCGACCATCTGCAGGATCTATTCTCCGCATTTCCCGAGTCCCAGCGCGTACTAGGGGACGATCCTCGAATTGGTAAGGGAAGAGGAAAGCCGCTACCGGATATCTACTTGCTCGCTCTTGAGACGATAAACGAGGGCTTGCGACAGCGAGGGGAACGCGAGATCTGTCCCGAAGAGTGTCTTGTCTTTGAGGATGCGGTTCCTGGTGTCGAGGCGGGTCGCCGAGCTGGTATGCGGGTAATTTGGTGTCCTCACCCGGGCCTACTGGGGGCTTACAAGGGCCGAGAAGCAGAGGTGCTGGCTGGGCTGACGGGTGAACACAAGGAAGAGGAGAAGTCCGCCCCAGAGAAGGAGGCGGAGGAGTTGACGGCGTGGAGAATTCAAGGCGCCGGTAGACCTGGTGAAATTGACGATGGGTGGGGAGAGTTGGTGTCGACTTTGGAAGACTTTCCTTACGAGAAGTACGGTATTCATCCTGCGTAGCCTTGTGTATTTTCTCTAGTTACAGTTGTCTTTTCTGTTCCATTCTCATACTGTACATGAAGCGATGTGAATATGTCAATAGCAAACCAGCAATGATTGATCGAATCAAAGAATTAGTGCAACGATGGGGCATGACCCAGTTCGGAGCCATGCATAGCAAAGCCTGTGCACCAAGCCAGAAGAGAATTCTGTGCCACAGGTAACAAGAAAAAGCCAATAAACAAGAAGGTCATCTATTAATGTAGAAAGTGTTCGACGGCTGCATGTCGAAACAAAACAGCTAGAATCCATAACGTACTGAGTACGTGATGTCAGAACAAGAGGGATTCGAACGATCAAATGCAGTTGGAAGTGGATGGGTATCTCCGCCAACGCCAGGAGAGGATATCAAAATGCGGTGATGATGGTGCAGTAACAGTAGGCGACGAGCAAACAGAGGCAATCCCAAACGCCCAATGCCACAAATGGTTTAATGTCATCACGTTCGTTTTCCAGAGGGATCAACCCAGCGGAATGATATTCTGATGTAGTGCACAAGCGCACAACCAAGGAAAACATGATAGTGTGCGCCTTCAAACAAGCTGCAAATAGAATTGCCGACGAAGATGGGCGCCCAGCCAGACGCCAATGAGAGATGCATTTGCACCGAAGCAGGCAGCAGATGAAAGAAAACGAGGTCCATGAAAGATGATAAGGTGACGCTAAAGTGAGTGCAAGCCCCAGGCGCCTCGCCAGTTCGCTGAAAAGCATTGTGACGTAAATGTAATAGACGAAGAACATGGCTTGATAAAGTCAAATGCATTGAAGGAGCAAGAATGACTGGAAGCTGAAGCACTCTTTTGTGTTCTAACGCCGTCTCTTGGTAGGAGGGCAGGCCTCAGCAGCGCCAATCTCGGTTGAGGTTCGCTTGCGGCCGCGCTTTTTAGGGCCTGATGGCTGTTGACCATGGCTCGGTCCCATGCTTCCTGAAATGACAGGATTCGGAGCGGCCGTTGAAGCGGGAGTGAAAGTCGGGTGATGATGAGTTGGGGGTGGAAGGCGTTGTTGAGGCGGCGGGGGAATCTGGAGACCCACGTCTGCCCACAGCTGAGGATTGACGAATGCCATCTGAGAATTCTGAGTGTGAGAATTCTGAGTGTGAGCATTCTGAGCAGCGGTTGCACTGAATTCAGGAGACATGCCGAGCTGCTCATACGATCCATAGGGCTGACCAGGGGGGTTCAGCGCAGGATTCATGGGAAGCATGCCCAGTGTGTCATTCATGCTTGGATGAAGTCCAGTAGTGTTGTTTGTAGGTATGAATTGTCCAGTATTGTTTGTGTGTTGAATTGGGCCGGTATTGGACACGCCTGGGTGTGCGGGATACGGCATGCCCAGGTAATGCCCGTTATTGTTCATAACCTGGTTGTGTCCGGGATTGACGTGGTTGTGTCCGGTATAGTTCAGGCCTTGCATGGAAAAACCGTTGGGCGGGTAGCTCAACTGACCCGGTGCCGCCGAACCAGAAGGGGGACCAGGCTTGCCTGAAGCATGCGGGGAAGTGACAGCATCGTCCAGGTCTTCTTCGAGATCGAGAGAGTAGTCTCCGGCGTCCTCGGCGTCCTCGACGTCATCGGCTTCATCGGCAGAATCTTCGTCTGCCTCTGCCTCTGCCTCTGCCTCTGCCTCTGCCTCTGCCTCTGCCTCTGCCTCTGCCTCTGCCTCTGCCTCTGCCTCCGCCTTCGCCTGCGCCTTTGCTTTCACCGAGGCCTTTCCCTCCTGGATCTGTTCTCCCTTGTTTGTGTTGACAATCCGGTTCGAGCGGCACCGGATCAGACAACGCAGCGGGGCGTTCACGAATTCGCGGATGTAATTGGCACCCATGTCCAACATCCGCTTACAGATGGACTTGCTGGCATGAAGTATCCGGACAATGGCCGCAGCCCTGTCCGGGAAGGAAAGTAGCACCCCGGCTGCGGCGGGATCTGAGATCCTCTCATCGTCGTCGTCCTCGTCCTCTTCCTCTTCCTCGGCCTTTTTCTCCTTTTTCCCCTTCTTCCTCTTCTTGGGAGGCGCGGCTTTGGGCAACGGCTCCGTGCGATGATACTCGATCATCGCTTCCTGTTCACGTATCAGTCAAGTGTCGAGAGGAGATATTGCCACAAAGACTTACCAAGAGATTCCAACAAGCGGCCTCGAGTCGCACAGGGCCCTTCTTTTTTTCCATGGCGTTTTTCCACACAGTCGCCGTCTTCGGCTGATCGTCCACCTCCTCGAGGTTCTTCATTGCCCTCAGAAAAGAGCTGACGATCGCTCTTTTCTGAGGTTGCGATACGACCAAGTCCGGGTCGCGGCCCGGTTCTGTGGGAGGAGGATAGAGCACTCTCTTCGCGTCTTCCAACGACTCGTATGTCGTTTCGATCTCGATTCCGCCCCACTCGGGGTTCATGAGATCTTCAGAGCTCGGCAAGCCGGCTATTGTATCGATTTGCGGAAAAGCTTTGTCCACGGCTGACGGTTTCTTACGTCTGTCAAGGGCTGAACCAAGCGAAGACTGCTGGGCTTGCTCCGATAAGATTTGCTGCTGCTGGTTTGAAGTATCCCGCGCAGGATGTTCCTGGCTTTGCTCAACAAGGTTGGGAGCCGCAGCGGAGTTCGAAGATCGACGTTGCCACTGTTGCATGGGTGGGACCCGGTGTGCCTGATTGTTCGTAGGATTATCGAGAACAGCTGGATTGATCAGATATTGCTGGGGCTGTTCTTGCACTGACGAAGTTCTAACACCCTGGCTGTCGGAGGGATACGCCCGCTGTGCCTCCTGGCTGTCAGCAGGGGTTCTGTATGCATGTTCGGTGTCGTGAGCCGGGGTAGAGGTCATGTTTGCGAACTCCGAATCGGGAGCAACGTTCTCAAACGGTCTCTTGAGGGCGGGATCAATGACGTCCTCAAGATCTGCTGCGGGAGGAGTACTGTCACCCGATTTCTTTTGGGACAAGGACTGTTCTTGAGTGCTCTCATCTTTCTCTCCGGATAAGTCTGAATGGATTGGCTCGCCCATAGCACTACCGATAAAGATCATTAGAGGTCCACCGTGATGGGAAGGACTGATGAGAGAGAGAGAACATACCAGTTTTGGCTTTGGTTGCCATTTCTTCTATTACCTCCGTCCGATTGTCTGGCAAGGGGAGGAGTAGTTTTCTTTGCAGGTTCTTGAACAGGTTGAACGTTGGCTTGAGCAACGGGAGTGCCAGCATCGAGGCTTTGGGATGGCTGGCTTTCGATCATCTCCTCGTCGTGATAAGTATCAGATGTGCCAACAGCGGAAGCATGAACTGTGTCCGTGTGTTTCTCAACGTTGGAACTGCCAACATCGATGTACTCAACTGATTCATCGTGGTGCTGAGCAGTGGGGTTGCCATAGCTGGGAAGCTCGTCCCTCTGTTCGTGGTCTTGAGCATTGAAGTTGCCAACGCCATGAAACGCAGTTGCTTGTTCAATGTGTTGGGCTTTGGGTGTGTTGTTGTGGTCCTTGATAGATGATTCCGCAAGAACAGAAGCAATATGAGGAGGAATGGGAGACTTAGAGCGCCTTCTCAAGTCAGCAGCGAGGTGACCATTGATGGGAGCCTCAACTGCCCTTTCGAAGATCCCGTACGGGCTTTCGTCACCATGAGCCTTGGCTGGCTGTTCAACGTTCCCATAGCCGCGGGCATTGTAAGTAGGGTTAAGGTTTGGGTGTTCGAACAAGTTATTGGCGCCTTGCTCATGAGGAGTCCTGTATGTCTTATCGAATGTCTCCCAGTCAACGTCTTCAGGGAGATGAGTGGGCTCTTTGTCAAATGACATCTCGTCTGGATCGAAGAAAGCATTGTCAAAGTGGAATCCTTGCTCCTGCTCTCCCGGCAAGGCACTCTCGGCATGCTCGTGAGAGACCGGCCTAGTGTGACCGAAGTTAGAGGATATTAAGCATAGACGACGTGCCAAAGACTTACGCAAGTCCTTCCATAGCCGCAAGAGAGCTTGGAAGAGAGAGCCCAGTACTCTGACCCAGACCTTCAGCAGGAGCACCAGGAAACTGAGGCGACATCCTTGCGACGATTTACTTGACAGTCACAATAACGCTCAGAAACTCGCTTGGAATTGCAAGATAGACAGTTTTCGAAGCTGTACGAGTGCAAGATAATGATTGGAAGAGGTCGAGTAAGGATAAAAGAATGAGATTGGCAGGTTTGTAGAAGTATGAGAGAAGAGATGTGGTTGGTAGAGTGGAAGAGAGATGTGTAGAAGTGAAAGTTGTGTTTGACGAGATGAGACTCGAAGGTAGAGAGGGAGGGAGGTTGGGGCCAGCAAGCATGAGGTGAATAACAGAGCATCAAAAACCTGAAATTAGACGGAAGATACCGTTAACAAGCGGCATATGCCATGTGCTTGGGGCTTGCAAACATAGTAGGGTGGGCCTCATTCCAAAAGTGGAAATGATGAAGGCATGTTTGCAAGTTTGCTACTCGAAGATGCCCAGTTCAATGGGACACAATAGGACTTCGAGGCATCTCGAAGCAAAGCCATGCACACTACCCCATGAGACAATTAATTCCATGGTGGTATTGACAATTAATTGGCGGTGGTGGTGGAATTGTGCGTCTGATTGAGGCTCTGGAGACAATAGGTCATTGAGGTGCTGCGTTGCGCAACAAACCTATTGTTAAACGCTCATGCTACGAGCAGAGGATTGCGCTCATTGAGGACCCCGACCAGAAGCAGTATACAATAGCTGGCGAGATCCCATCAAATTCAGACGCAATGACAGCCCCTCAACTGGGCTATTGAGCTGTTTAGCAACCCTGGATTCATCTATCATTTTGCAAGCAAGTGCACGTACCAGTAGCGTATTGACTGCGCACTCTCACTCGCCTGACGAACACAACCAGGCCTAGAGCTTGATCTCAAACTCGTCTCATTTCTTGGCACCACCACTGGTGCCAACCATTTCAACTGACAGGGGTACCTAGGAATGGCATCGACCAGATTTTCAGGCTATTATCGACCTTCTTGGTGGAATGACTTATATCACGTGAGGAGCGCTTCTGACCAGAAGTCGTTGCTGCTATGGTTCCCATGGGATGCAAAACAGTACTGCTCACCGCGTCTGTATGCCTTATTGTAAGCTCCTTGAACTCCCAGTCAACTCGTGATCATTGCTTACCATCATGAACCTTCCATTCCCAGTCACATTTTTGCGGCCCAGCAGTGTGCGTGGGATTTCGCCAGACTCTCATACATCCGTCAGTTCCTCCAGCCCAGATCTCATGGGACTCGCCCTGTGCGACAGGTACAACATCGATCTTCATGCGTTGATTTGTGACGGCCCTTCGACCTTCTAGCCAGCCAAGAAGCTGCCCGGTGACTCTGATGTCAAATATGAGGACTCCGTCGCTTTTCCGTTCGGCAATATACAAATATCTTCCGCAGGGACTCCAAAGTAGTTGCGTGACTCCCGCACCGCCAATGTGGCGATGAGCATCCGTCTTTGTAATGCTAAAGGTCCCAAGAGACTCTCCGGTCCCATTCGCCCCATACAGACCTATCTGCCTGGAAAATGTCCCCGCAGCCAAGATACCATCTCCAACGGGATTGATGGCCATTGCGGAGACAATGCCCTTCATCCCGACTCCTCCACCTACCATTTGCTTACGCTTACTGGGTATTGTGGGCATCCATGCGACGGGGCCCTCGCTCCCAGGACGGGATACATCGAAAAGACATATCAGGCTATCGGATCCGGTGAGGAAGTGCGTACCGCCCAGGGCATGCGGATACACCATTGAGTGAGGCGTAATGAATGCCTCTGTCGTCGGATGTATGAGCGAGTAAGTTGCCAAAGTGGTAGGCACAAGAGCAGACGCGAGTCTAATTGGGTGATCACGGACTGATGATAGGAACAGAGTGGTGGACGGATCCTGGAGATTGAAGAACGGATAGATGGCAGTGGCGTACGTTGGCTCTGCTGAAGGCAAAACAGAGTAAGGGTCCAGCCGACGCGGTGATGATGTGCCTTCCAGCAAATCCGGAGGCCTATTTCTGCTCGTTAGTCCAAAAACATTTCAATCCTTTGAGCATGACCTACAGGATATAGGTTCTGATATGATAATCCGCAGAATCGGTCAGAAGTGTGGTGCCATCCGGGGACCTATGCAAACAATCGTTAGCCAAGGTTTCATCGACCATGCATGCAATAGTAGGTCAGTTTCAAAAAACCTACCATTCCAAGCCTTTCACGTAATTAAGATGTGGATCTATTCTACTATTCTCTTCTGCTGACCCAAAGGTGAGATCCTGACTTTGTTTGAGAGATGACTGGACATCAATTCGGATATCCCGTGCATCGTCCGCTTGGGTTGAAGCCACGCATATTGGGCCTTGAGTCAAAGAGTCCTTTTCAGCCATCTTGCACAGGAAATCTCCAATGTCCACACTATATTGAGAGGAACAGGACTCTGATATATGACTATGATGCCTCAAATTCTGAAGAATGTTTGGAACCATGCGAGAACGAAGGAGAGTTGCAGAAACTTGTCCTCCGGGCTTTTCATCGCATCACTTCTAGGAACTGTGGTGACAGCAAGGAAATTATTCACCTTCCTGCAATCACACTGCGCTTTATATAGTGAACTAGACGGAAGTGGATGGATGTCTCGGCGGCAAGCGCAAAGGACAAACAGCCGAGCATCACAGTGAGTACGGAGTACTATAGGCAATCAATGAAGCCAACTGGGGAGCCTCCTTAAGCTACAGAAAGTTCGGTTTGAGTTGAGATAGATCCATATATGTCAGGATTGTGAGACTGAGCTAGATAGACTCAACTCGAGCGGTATTGTGGTGGATTCGTGAGGATTCCTGTAAGCGATTTTATATGTTCTTGCTGACGCCGACTGCGGTTTCCTGTGTACAGCGGGCGAAAGAAAGTTGGAACATCGGCCCCGGTGTATCTTTTTCCCCATTAATTTCCCACTAGTCCAGGACCAGGAGGAACTAACTACGGACCTTGGTAAACGCTGATATCTGCTCTGCATCGGCGCAACAGTTATCTGCCCCAAATTTTTGTGCCTCCTGCCTCTACACTACCTCGACATCCTGTACAGCTGAAAGAAAGAGCGGTAGGGAGGTGCGAGTTGATTTTATCTAATTTCAACCTTTTCTCCCTGATCTGAGCCGACACTCCTTTCATCATGTTTTCCGCAAAACCTTCAACCGGCCTGTCCATAAACACCAATTCCGCCAATTCACTTTTGTAAGTGCGCCTGTGTCCAGAGCTCGATCTGGAGCTTCAGCTCGGTCAATCTCCAGTCGTCTGTCGATGTATTGTTTGTTCTACTTGTGGTGAATCGTGTTATGACATAATGCTTCTTCTTCATTCCTCGTCTGTGTGCTTGATCTGGCTTGCGGAACTGCTCAGCTCTAAGATCTGAGCTACGAATTCGTGGATCGCGCGATTCAATTAGGCTAACGACTATTTACATCGCGCAGTGGCGGATCTAATGCTCAAACTACATCGTCTACCGCTACACCAGGGACAACGAGCACGTCGGGAGGTTTGTTTGGAAACTTGGGAGGCGTCAATGCGCAGTCAAAGCCAGCGGGCGGCCTTTTTGGAAACCTTGGGGGCGGGAACACGCAGCAATCTTCAACTACTGGGTCAAGTCTGTTCTCCGGCTTAGGTGGACAACAGCAGAATACTACTAATACTACTGCTACTGGCGGCGGCCTGTTTGGAGGCTCTACACCGGCCAGCTCGCAACCTGCGACTGGTGGGCTCTTTTCGGGGACTACAGGCGCGGGCACCACCACGACCCAGAGTGGAGGTACTGGTGGAGGGTTGTTTGGGTCCACGACCCAGGCTCAGCCCAAACCACTATTCGGCGGTCTGGGGGCTTCTACAACAACTGGGGGCGGCCTCTTGTGAGTGATCTGCGTTGCCTTCTTTCGTTTCCGTCGACTAATCAGTGAGAAATTCAAGTGGTGGCGGCAACCAGACCAACATACAACAGCAGCAACAACAAGCACAGAAGCCCACGCTATCTCTCTTTGGGAATCAAAATGTCGCGCCCCAACAGTCGACACAACAAACAGCCACAACCGGAACAGTGGTTCCCGGGGTCAAGGTAGATCTCAGCAACCTCTTACCAACGACGAAGTACGAGAGTTGCGCCGACGAAATCAGATCGGAGTTGGAGAAATTTGACAATTACGTCCTCCTTCAAATCAAGCTGTGTAACGAGGTTTCCAACATGCTTCCTACAATTGCGGGCCAGGCCGAGACGATTCCAAATGATGTGGATTTCGTTCAAGGCAAACTGGAAACCATTCAGCATGCGCTGGAGAACGATGCTCGCGATATTGATCAACTGCGCAGCCTGGTGTCTCGCGATGCAGCGGAGGCACAAGTGGCATTCAGAGCTATCGATACATTAAAATTACCCTTGCAATATCAATCTGCGGGAGCCGCAGGGTGGTGGTCAGCCCAGGACCAGAAGGGGTCAGATCGCCAGGCGTTGCGATCCACGCGCAAGAATACTCTCGCTCTTCCGGACGACGTCGAGACTGACCCGACGTCTGCCACTTCCATCAATGGTGTGCCAGTGAACCTTGTCGACTATTTTTCTCAGCGCTCTGACGAAATGGGTACGGTTCTTGAACGATATACCCGCAATTTGAAGGAGATTGAAGACCACCTTCATGGTATCGAGCTTTCGCTTAACCGCCAGATTCAGGAATTTGTGGCTTCACGAAGTCGAGACGGTGCGGCCATTGGAACCCAAAAATCGAAGCTCAATGATCTTGCAGCGGCGCTTGGAGATGTGGAGAACGGTATACTTGGTGTTGCCGGTAGACTCGGTGCGGTCACGGAGCAGGTGCAGGAAGTGGTGTTGGGTCCGCCATCAGGAGGAGATGGTAGGCTTAATTAATGGTAAACCTCAAGCTGCCTGCATAATATGGTGAGATGTAGGTCATTTCATCCAACCGGCGGACCGATTTTGCTTCATATATCTTGGTCTCCCGGGGTTCTATCACTACTTGAGAAGAGTCTTGTATTTCAGCATGAGTATTTAGGGCCAGGCGTTACAAACGAGAGATGACAGGACATCCATATGTTTCATGCGAGAATTGTTCTCTTTCATCGGACATTGATATTTTACAATATGCTTGTTTGTCTGGTCAGCAACATCTTCTTCCTTTATGGTACTATTTACGACTTAGCCCAAAACGTACAAAGCAGAGATCATCACCGGAGTGAACCAGAGCGTTGTGATATCATAGTATCTTGAACCAGAGCGTGGATCAGTGAATCAAAACAAAAATAACTAGGCCAGCCAACCAATCCTCGGTGGTGGCCATGAATAATACGCTGAGTATAGCCATGGATGATCTACGTTTGCCTGACGGCAAACGCAAGAGAATGGCGGAGTTGCGTGATCGCACGCCAGAGATGCAGCGTGCAGCCACTCCCGACGCCGGCTCTAACTTTGTTTCAACTGCATACTTGAGTTGCAACTTACATAGATTCTGAGAGCGTTGTTTCAAGTGTACCTGCCTACTCATTTGTATTCTTTACGCGCCGTGGATATGATTATTTCTGATATATCTACCCCATACGGGTACAAGAATAACAACAGTTGGATCACCGGTAGACGCTGGGAAGGTGGCTTAGTGATCACTGAATGAGTAAGATCTGACTGCTCCTTCGCGCCATCAAGCCTCAATTGAATAATGTGACGTGATGCCTGATCATGATGGCGATGCTACTTCGATCAAATCCACTATCTGGCTTACAGTTGGAATCTCTATTTGTGGGTAGGATATTTGGGTGATTGTCCCCAGAGATGGCGCCATTTCCGCCAACCCCGACTCATGGATGATGCGTAATACTGGCACGCAATCCTTCGGGGTACCTCCCAGGTGCTGCTATATGTAAGTACGGCTGGAAGATGGCAATATTCAGGTTCTTGGTCCATCGAGACTTTGTTTCTCTCCTTAGGCCTTCTTCTCCTGTGCTTGACATATCATATATCAGCTGTCTTCTGGCCCTCATTGATACGACATACCACAAGGGCAAGATAAACTGAAAAGAACACCATGGCACCGTTGCTGGAGGAACCAGCTGCTGCTCCATTTCTTGGTCACTTCACTGTTCCCAAGAAAGAGACTGCAGAGCACAACAAATTCTGGTACGAGCCAGGGCGCACAACTGTCAGGAGACACGACGATTACCCTTATGAAGATCTTCTGCCCTCATTTCCAGATGTTCAGTGGGACGCTATAGGGAAGGTTCCATACGAAGATAAAGGGCTTCGCGGAGACCCAAAATTCCGTCACTTGCTGCAAGACGCAACTGACGTCTTTGACTACACACCGAGGATTGGAACGGAGATAGATGGGGTCAATCTGGCCAGACTCAACGATGCCCAGAGGGATGACCTTGCCCGCCTGATCGCCGTCCGTGGCGTGGTATTTTTCCGCAATCAGAAGGATTTTGATATTGAAGCTCAACGGGAGTTGGGAAAATATTTCGGAACGTTGCATAAAGTGAGTCTTGACTCTCCAGATCATCTGACTGGTCTCTAACCGTGAGGTAGCATGCCACTACTGCCGTACCAAGGAAGAAGGGGTTGGAGGACGTGCATGTTGTTTATACTGGGGACAACTCCTCCGACCAGCGAGCACTGTTTTCCCCAAGCTTCCTATGGCATTCCGACGTAACGTACGAGGTTCAACCACCATCATACACATCATTGAAGGTCCTGACAGGGCCCCCTCGAGGAGGCGGTGGTGACACACTCTGGTCGTCTCAATACGCGGCATACGACGCTCTCTCCTCGCACATGCAGAACTACCTGAAGGGCTTGACTGCTCTCCATACAGCCAACATGCAGGCATCAGACTCGCGGGCTCTTGGTCGAACTGTTCGTCGCGAGCCGATCACCACAGAGCACCCTTTGATTCGCACAAATCCAGTCACTGGCTGGAACAGTCTCTTCTTCAATCCTGGCTTCGTAACCAAGATTGTGGGCATTCCAAAAACAGAGAGTGACGCCATCATAAGGTACCTCACCGAGGTTGTTGCCACCACGCAAGAGGCGCACGCTCGTTTCCAGTGGGGTGAGAACGACGTGGCTCTGTGGGACAATCGAACAACAGTGAGTAACGCGCAGATATTCTCCATCATGATCCCTTCTCACATTTTCGATAGAATCATTCCGCTTCTTACGGCTTTGCTCCCCACCGTCGCCACGCCGTCCGAGTCGCCTGCCACGCTGAACGCCCCTACTTGGACCCCGAAGGCAAATCTCAGGAGGAGGAATATAATGCTTACTATAACCTACCAGCTGTGAACAAGGATGGCTCGCGTCAATCCAACTACAACGATTGATCAACGATTGATCTTGGGGGGCTGGTCCCTTCTCATCCTTTGACGGGTCTGAGTCGAGAGAACTTATTGCACATACACTTCTCGGTTAGGATGAGCAGACATAACGAACACTTTACGATAGATACGATAAAATTGCTTTCTGAAATCATTTCTGGGAAGAGAGTGATCAAATGCTTCTCCTCATATTAGGAAACGTTTTATGACAATGTCATGATACTAGAACATTGAATACTATATACCAGTATATGAACTAATAAGAGGCTAGAGAAGCTTCGTTGGTGGTCAACTCTGTCGTTTGTAAAGTTTAGAAAGATAGGAAATGGGCTTACAGACAGGTCTGGGCTGAAGAATCACAGCACCTATCCCCAGTAGGAGACTGTCAATCTCGTCGTCCACAATCCACTCCTCTGAACCATTCTCGATGTCAGCCAAACACGAACCATCTCTGCTCGAATATGCCAGATTCCACGGGATCGCTCGTGACTATACCGCAATCAATCCCAGCCAGCAGCTTGATCACTCCCTCGAACTGCCACCAGATGATCCTTCCGTGCCCGAAGACAAGCTGAAACCGCTCGATAAATACCTCCTCACCACACAAGAATCTGTCGAGAAAGCCATCCGCGAAGAGAAACTCAATGTGAGGAAAGAGGATGCTCGGTTTCTAGCAGCAGTCCTTCGAGACGTGAGAACCCATGAATTTGAATTCAAGCTGGAAGATCATTTGGCGGCCTTTCATCGTCTCGACAAGCTCAGGCTGGAACCTCCCATCTTCAGTCTAGACTACGAGATGCGCTTAGCACTTCCTCAAAGCCCGGTGCTCTACGATTCCAAAGACTTGAATCTGCCTCCTCTCGAGGATGCTCCGGAGTACCAATTTGAGACTTGGGTGAAGAAGGCAGATGAGATCAATGACGCGATCAGGAATGAGAAGCTCGACTGCAGCAAGCAGTCTTTCATGCTCATACAAGATGCAATCAAGCTCGGAAATGTGACTTCGAATCATCTGGGTGATGTACTAGCAAATATCATCCGACCGGTAAGTATCTTGAGAAGCGTTGAGCAGCAGCGCGCTGATTTGATCCTAATATCTTACAGAGAATGTCTGTCCGTTCGGAATCTCCTGCTCTTGCTCCTTTAGACATGGACGGTTTATCCTTCAAAAGTCCCTCCCCTGAGCCAAAGCTTCAGATGCTACCCAGCCCTGTCTCGAGCGAGATCCTAGAAACGTCCAAGCCACAAAGCCATCCGTCAAAAGATTCTGATGCAAGCCACACCCCTGTGATCTTCGATTGCGTACGGCAGACTTCTATGGGAGGTGCCAATGGCATGATGCAGATAGATCACCACCTGTCAGCAGCTGAAGGACAGCAGATCTGGGAAAATGCAGCGACGGTAGGCCTCGAGGAGGCTTGCGAATCCACCATGTTTGCAGGCGAAAGGCCAGGAGGTGGAGGAACATCAGAAGATATACAGCTCCAGAAGGACTTGAATATACCGAACCTTGCCAACCATAATAATCCCTCCCAGGGGGAAGAACCAACTTCACATTCCACCCAATCAGCAGAACCTGAGATGTCGGAAGAACAAGCTGAGTGGCCGGTTACCGAAGCTCCAGCCGAGGAGAATACAGCAGTTCGTCTATCATCTCGACCATCAATCTCCCCGTCGGCAACCTGCTATTTTTCGTATACAAATGACGTAGCATGTGAAGCGTCCCTCCAATGTTCTAATAAGGATTCAGAAGAGTCAGACGCCCATCATTCAGCTCAACAGTTCCATTCCTACAGCACTGAGGGACAGGTCAACAAAAGATCACTCAGCGACATAACTGTTGAAGCAGGCATCGTATCAACGAACCAAAATGTTCCAACACCAGCAGTGCCTGATTCGCAGCTTATCACAGAACAAGGGCAATCCCCCAGTAGGCTCCAGCAGAGCAATAGACGAGCTTTTATAGTCGGCGATAGTGGTTCGACTGCAACGAATCAGAATCGGCTTTTAACCAATACTTCTCCCACCGCGACCAATCAACCTTTACAGCAGAGGAAAAGGAAACGCCAGCTTAGCAACGGGAGTCTCGTCAAAGCCACACAGTTCGAGGAACAGCAGAAGCAGCCCGCGGTACCGTCATCTACTACTCTGGGTTCTTTGGCCGCGTTCATGGAGACAAGGGGTCGAAACGAGAAACGGCATACGGTGACACAAAGCCCATACTTCCCAGGCAAAAAGTCAATTGATGACGTTTCCAAGCAACAAAGTGATGCAGTAAGCACCGAGAAGCCCGCAAGCTGCCTAAAAGAGTCGGACAAAAGCGACAACGGCCCAGACATAATCCAGACAACCACACAACTACCTCGCTTTGAGCAGCGGACGGGAGAACGCCCTATTCTGTTCTTATCAACCGCCCTTCTGAAGAGTCATCTTCGGCTCGTACGATGTCTTGAAGGAATGGCATGCCAGCCAGCAATCGTATATAGAGACTATAATCACAATAATCCGGGCAGTGAGCCTCAGGGCAAGCATACGACCTTTCGCATGAACAGCAATCCCACTCTTCAAATCGAAGCAGATATCATAATCTCGCCGAGTACTGGGATAATATTGACAACATCACAGGCGACAACGCAACTATATCTGCCCGGCCATAAGTTCGCTCGTCCTGAGATGAGCATTGAATGCATCAACTCGCCACTCCGAGAACGCATCTTCCTTCTCGCTCCTCGATATGAACGAGTCTACCTGTTCATATGCCATAGTGCACCATCTTCCAAGAAGTCGCAAGTCAAACAATCAGGCCCGACAGCAGACAAGCGAGTGTTGGCATCCATCACCTCCATGACTGCTTTTTGCAACTCCATGTCCACCTATGCAACAATCAGCCCATTGCTAGTCCCTTCATGCCCAGAAACCGTGGCCGGATGGGTCCTTTCGCTTGCGAATAAGCACATTGCTCGACTTCCCGGGAACCCCACGCGGATTCCGCCCAGCGCGAGCTTCACGCCGATCAACTCGAGTCAGAAAAACCGTTTGAACCCGGAAATGATGATGAGAACAACCGTCTGGGAGCTCTTCCTCCGCCAGGCTGGATTAAACCCGTACGCTGCGCAAGCGATCTTAGCATTCCTCAGACGAGAAGACGAAGAAGAGCTGACTTATATGCGCTGCACATCTCGTACGGCTGACATCTCTGACTCTTTGGAGGACGGAGGTGGACGAGGTCTCGCTAGGTTTATCGAGATGGCGCCAGATCGAAGAAGGGAGGTCTTTGGTGAGCTCATAGGTGACAGGATGATGGGGCGAATCAACCATATTCTCGACAAAGACTGGCAGTGTGACTGGGCCCTTAACTTTGACGCTGATGCGGAACTATGAGTTTACCTTTGTAGTTAAGCTGGCCCTAAGAGTAAGCTGGTATTGCTGGGGCAGAGAACAGCCCTCAACCTTTATGGATCTTGGTGGAAAGAAACTGGAGTCAATGTACTGAACATCGGCTTGAGAGGAGATTTATCATGTCTGATATTGCTCGTTTTCATCACCCCGGAACCGGCGTGATTCATGACGATTGCTAGATTGATTTAGAAGTACATCCATAGTAGTATGCTAGAGAAAACAAGGTCGTTTCACGCTTTATAACAACAAATGCGCAGACAAAATCAGCCCAAAAAGAGACAGCATAGGCTAGATCATTTTTTAGACCTTTGATGGTGAGAGATGTGGAATTATAATGTTTTCGAGGTGTTGTGGGAGCTCATGATTTTTGCATGGTATAATACACGTCCTCCGACTTCGGCGGTCTCAGCTCGAGATCGAGAGGGGAGAAAGACAGAAAGAAAGGGGAGTCGTTCCTTTATTCGTTGATCTTGGCGAGGATCCTATCGCAGATGTCAGTACAATCTCATCGAGGAGTGGGATTTGTTATCATGCAAGGAAACGTACTCAGAATCCCGGAAGAGGGTGTACTCCTCTTCGCCGACCTTGATGGGGCTACCACCGAACTGTATCGCAAGATCTGTCAGCCACTTCATCGAAAGAAAATCCAATGTCTGTTGCGCATCGGATCCGCGCGGAGATAGAGCATCCAGAACGACCAATACGTACCTGGGGGATGAGAACCTTGTCGCCAGTGGAAACGCTCATGGGGATTCTCTGGCCGTTACGGTCAACGGCGCCGGGGCCGACGGCGAGGACCTTGGCCTCATTCTGCTCCTTGACGCTGCTCTCAGGGAGGAAGATACCGGAGGCAGTCTTGGCCTCGGGCTTGATGCGCTGGACGAGGACACGGTCCAGGAGGGGAGCGAGGTTCTTGATGTTGCGGAGGACAGACTGGTCGAGAGGAGAGATCAAAGTTAGCGGCGTATCCCAATGAGTCAGACAAACAAGATCAAGACATAATCGATAGCAGAAATTGTCACGACGAAAGTCGAGATGGTAGTCCTGAGGTCCCGGACTAGGTGGAAACACGTACCATTTTGTATGAAGGTGCGAGGATAAGAGTGCTAGACACTTGGGTTCAGTTTAATTGAGCAAGGATGCAGAGATGTATCGAGTACGAGGCGTGGAGAGTACGAAAGAAAAGAAGATGTTCGGGCGGTTCGTCTGGGGGAAGAAGATCTGGACTCGCCGGGCCGCGAGAAATTTCCAGAATGCCAAGACCGGAGAGCTTCCATCAACACTGCCGAGGGTATCAAGTCGAATGCTTTCTGCCATACTCTTTTGCACAATATACGATGAACTGGACTTTTTCCCTCTGTGTTGAGAGAGTGGGTTGATTCATTTGGCCTGGATTTGCGATGTTGACTTTTCGATAGAGGTTTCAATCCTAGTCTGCAGCTCAGTCGCCTGAGACAACTCCTTTTCCCCGAATGAGGAAATATTCTAGCTGCGAATAGCTTCAAGCTCATGGTTTTAAAGATCATGATCAGTGGTATAGTTAATGCTGGCTGTATACAAGTGAACGCCACCAGATCCGACCCGTCAATCCCGAACGCTAGTCACCCAGCAAATCAAAGATTACAACATTGTAATAGAAGACATGGATCCTTTGCTCTACCATCTTCTTCCTCGTCCTCGGCCGCCAAACCCACCCCTCTGATCGTAACCTCCAAATCCCATATGAGGCTGGCCACCACCTTGTCCTCCAAACCCTGGTCCTTGCGACTGGCCGCCGAACCCAGGCTGACCTTGCTGCTGTCCGGCGCCGGCACCACCTTGACCTCCCATCATCGCCTGTGCATGCTGCATGAAAGACATGGGATCCATTGATGATGGATCCAAGCCTTGCGACATCATACTTGCCAGCATGCCCTGCATCATATCGGGAGACATATCTGGCACTCCTGGCATACCGGGCATAGCTGGCGGCGCGCTGCCAGGAGGCGCCCCAGGGCCCGGAGCTCCTGGCATTGGTGGCAGACCCATGGTCAAGAAGCTCTGCATATCATCCAATTGCTTCTTCTGGTCTCCAACTTCTTTCCGTAGCTCTTGTTGTTTCAGAACGTAGCTTGCCCAGGTGAATTCGTCAAATCCGTAGTTGAAATAGTCGGAGATATCTGAACCAGGTCGTCTCCATGGTTTGTCGTCCTCGGTCGGAAAGTCCGTGTCCATATCTGTCGACAGGATCGGCTTGCCTGTGGCAGGGTGAACAGGGTTCGCATTGACATCGATCGTCGACGCGTGCACAGGCGGGTATGCGGAGCCAGGCTTTTGGGGTACGGCCGGTCTTGCGCTGACAGGTACCGGAGTGGCAGCTTCAATTTTAGGGGTTACTGTAGGTGTGACGGATTTCGAAACAGTCGATAGATCTGCTGATGAAGGTCTTTGGGTCTCTGCTCGTAGACTGGCGTGACGAGGATGTGGTCTGTCTTGACATTAGATCAAATGCTATTCAGCTAAGTTGGTGGAGGAATGGACAGCTTACACTTCCGGAGACGGCGCATCTGGAGGAGCTTCTGTTATGATATTGAAGTCATCCTGAACAGAAAATTAGTCGATGCGAGAGATTGAACCGCGTGTTGTGAGCAGACCTCATCCTCTTCCACCTCTATCTCCTCCTCCTCGCCCTCCCCTTCATTCGCTTCTTGAAACTTTTCGTTCGATTGGTTCTGAGGAGCATTCTGAGCTTGGTTTACGGGTACTGCATCAGCAGGATCGTAGAAATCATCATCGTCATCTTCCATCATCATCTCGAACAGAAATAGAGAAATTTGTGATTGTGAGAAGTGTAGAATAATGACGAAGTCTCGGCCAGTTTACTGCGGAGATCGAACGGCACGCCGGGTTTGGCATGTTTGCTCTTCAGCTGCCAGATCCGTTCTGTATGACACCAACTACTCGGTTCATTGATCCTTACAAAAAGGATTCTAATAATGACGAATCAGTCATAGATATAATCGGCGACATTAGATTCTTACGTATTTGCCAAAAATTCGATCTACTTTATGCGATCTCGATGAACCGTGGTCACGTGTCTCTCTGTCTCCGTCAGTTGCTTTATGATCACAATACAACATCTGGATAGATGACTTCTTGAATCTTTGAAAACGACCCTGAGTGACACAGTCATATCCAAAAATACATACATCATGCCTCCTTCCGAACAACCGAGCCACAGCTCCACACCGCGCTCATTTACGAGCCAGACTACCTCCGCAGAAGATCTACTCAAGTCGCAGACCGTTGGTCTAGTCCATCTTTCCGACTTTCGCAAGCGTCGCGCAGAGGTTCTAGAGCAAAAGGAGCGAGAGGCACACGACAAGTCTCTGGGAAGATTTACATCCGGTAATTCAAGAAGCGCTACTCCTTCAACGGGTGATGTGACTGACGGGTGAGTTGTGGCGCAAGCTTCTTCCTTTCTCTTCCCTGACTGATCGCAATTACCCAGTAACTCGACCCCCCGTAGCGAGGGCCCTCCGAAGAAAAAGAAGAAGAAGCAGCTCATGAAAAGCAAGCTTTCTTTTGGTGACGATGAAGAAAACGATACCGGAGACGATCCTGTGGCCACTCCCCGCGACACGAGTGTCCCACGATCTGCGTCGAGGACACCCGCGGACGATAGTTCTGCGCCGTCTTCACGGCGCATCACCCCCAACCCCAATGCACCTCCTCCTCCGAAAGCGATGACGAAGGCTGCAATAAAGGCAGAGGCAGAGGCGCGTGATGCCCTTCGCAGGGAATTTCTGGCTATGCAGGAGGCGGTCAAAAATACAGAGATACTCATTCCGTTCATCTTTTACGATGGCACCAATATACCGGCGGGAGCGGTCAAGGTGAGGAAAGGCGACCCGGTCTGGTTGTTTCTTGACCGTTGTCGCAAAGTCGGTGCCGAGTTAGGCGTCGCAGGTGCTAGCGGAGCAGCAAAGGGAAGGAAAGACAATCGCCGGGAATGGGCCAGAATTAGTGTCGATGACCTTATGCTGGTCAGGGGAGAGATAATTATTCCACATGTAAGTGGGAGCTGCATTTTGCTCATTGTCGTGTGCTGATTGACCCTCCAGCACTACGAATTTTACTATTTCATAGCCAACCAAGTACCCAGCTTCTCGAGTGCTGGCGGGCTATTGTTCGACTACTCAAACAAGCCTCCTCCAGCAGCTTCTAGTGATAATCCAATGTCACGGCCTGAGAATGACCAATTAGAAGGTGCCGATAAAGATGCGACATTGACAAAAGTGGTCGATAGACGGTGGTATGAACGAAACAAGCACATTTTTCCAGCGAGCTTGTGGCGGGAGTATGAGCCGGGGCCCGAGTTCGAAGAGAAAATGGCCTCGACACGGCGAGATGCTGAAGGAAACACATTTTTCTTCTGACCTTGCGATTCTGAGTATATGGAAGAGTGAAAGGCGTTGTGAGCTGAGAGAGCTATAAAGCAGTGCGAGCAATACATATGTATATTCTTTAGATACCCGAACAACCAATCTGTTTTATTCCATAACTGAAGCACGTCCTTCTAGTGATTATTGATAGTTATCCCTGCAAGTATCTTGTTGTCGACAATCGGCCGCAATCTGCAGATGGTACAAGTATTCTGAACTTCCACTGTGACCATGCGTATTCAAGCTTCGTGACCCTTTCATCCATCAACTCCAAGCTTCGACTCTTCGACTATTCTTGAACACACCTGTTACTTCAGTCATGGACTTCTACCTTCGATGCAATGCTCTAAAATGTCGCTCCCAGTTGAAGGAGCAAGCAGTCGTCACCACCTGTTCGTAAGTCGTCCGTACTTCCTTTCTTCAGTCGCTTTTGAATAGTGAAGATGGATATTGACCTGCTCAGACACATTTTCTGTCTTCCCTGCGCAGATACTCTAGGCCTCTCGCGTCCCACGCACGGCGAACGTCGCTGTCCAGCTTGCCAAACCGTCCTCGTGAATCCGGACGACGCTGCATCGACCGTTCTCAACCCCTCTGAGGACTATAAAACCAGCGTACTGAGTGGACTTGACCCGAACACAATCATGGAGTGTGCTAGTCGGGCATTAGTATTCTGGGCTTATCAGACCACGCAGGAGATGTCCGTATTGCGAGGCTTTCCCGTCGATTTCTGCGTCATTGTCCTGACATGGAACAGATTCTACCAGGAGTATCTCGGAAAGTCACTTACGGAGAAATACACAACGCTGAATACACAAATGGACAGGGTGATTCATAATGCAAATACGGAGATATCAACGCTTCAGGCTAAATTAAACGGTTCGTCATCATCAGCAGATCCTCAAGGGAGGATGGGACGTTTTGACTCGAAATCTAGACATGCAAACAACAGAAGAGCAGCTTCGCAAAAAGAACCAGGAGCTCGTTGATCTGTACCGAGAAAAGTGCAAGAAGTTTACCCAGATCACCAATCTGTACAACCTACTCAAGTCTCGCGCCATGAGATCGCAAATGAAGACAGCTGCGTCGGACACTGTCTCACAGACTTTGAATTCTCTCAGTAACTCAGGAAACGAGCCCTCGGTATCAGCCTTGAGCAGACCGATGAGTGTATCACGGCCGCCGCAAACTCCGGCATCTCGTCAGGGCAATCCATACCCTGCCAACCTGGAAGGGGTGGAACAGCTACATCGGCATCAGCGGAGCGGAACTGGGAGCTCAAAAGGTGCAAAGCAAAAGGTTGATGCCGCTGCGATGCCACCACCCACTGTGCCAGTGAACTTGAGAAACCGTATGCCCCTCTTCATCTTTTTCTAGGGATCAAGATATTCTGACAGTCCAAAGGAAGTATCCCCAATGCAACTCCACAACACCGAACTCGTCTCCCGGGCCCCGTGCGTCCGTCGACTGGCATGTCAAGCTTACCACAGGACAGCGTCATGTTCGAGCGATTTCACGACAGCAACAATATCCCAGGTCCGTACTTGAACAGCGGCAACACCTCGCTGAATCGAGATAGTCTGGGTTTCCAAAGGCCTGGTCCTGGTACAGCAAATGGAGCGGGAAACGGCCCTTCTGTTTTGAGGTCTTCTTTATTTCAGAACACCATTATATAACCTTGCTCTGCTAATTCAGGTTCGCCCGTCCGCATATCAATCTGTGTATTTCTTCCTTTGACGGGTAACTCGCTCCTTTTGACGCGAGGGTTGATCATATGGATAGCAAGACAGGGTATAAATTCGTCGGGTGCTGATGCCGCCCTTTGGCAGATAGATATCAACTAACGCTCATAGAAATTTGAGTATTCTTCATATATCCATTTTGCCTGGTTCCACCGTCGGTCACAATAATATTTCAGAGTAGTTCAAGAATATCAGGTTCTGTTGTATATGTCACGCCAAGAACGGGACCTCCATTCGATAGGGTTATATATCTCTAGCTTTCCATGTAGAACCACAGTTTCAAGGGCATGCTTCAGACAGGCAGCAAAAGAATCAATGCCTCATAATAATCAAGCATTTAGCTTATGACCTCAACCTCAGCAACGGGGACTGGTCTGTTTATGTTAGCTAATGATTTTGTCAGCGAATCCACGCTAGGACGTCCATGAGCTTATCTTCCCTTCGTCCGACGAACTTGGCTATGGATAGTTAGTTCCCGCTCTGCATTCACCACCACTTCGATCCAACATTTGCTCAGAGCCTTAGACACCTTGTAGATACGTCCTGAAGTTCATTGATGGGCGTCATATACGCAGTCCAGTAGATCAAATCAATACTTCCACTGCATGAAGCACTGAGCATCACTACCCTCTTACCTTGATCTATACCAACTCTGAGTTCCCCCATAGTAAACAAGCCTATGTACTCCGTGAACTCTACCATATCAGAACCAAAATCTCCAGAACCTCCAATTGCAATCCCAAAACAGAAAACAACAACGCCGTAGATCGTATCATCCCATGGATCCCATCTCACCACGCCCAGACCTTCGGCTTCACTGCAAAAGGCCCGTCCCGAGAAGCCGACCCAGACGTCACTCACTCCTCCACCCTCGGGCGTGCGGAAGCGGGAAGCTGAGCTCGTCCACTGCTGCCATCGACGATGGGAAAGGATTTCCCAATTCCCACGCGGCTTGATCTAAATGCAGGGCAGGGGAGCTCCTGTGGAGAATGAGCAGAACTTAGTTTCCAGATCTTCCTGTGCGTCTGTTTAAGCTTATCTTGTCCCCTTGTCTTGTGTCTGAACTTGTAAGGTGTAACTGTTGGTACTGGTACTGTTTGTATGTATGGGGGATGGTCTCACGTGATGATTTCTTATTACTTCACTTTGGCCCATTCTGTCCATACTTCTACAGGTGACGAGTGCTGTTTTACTTGACGACTACTTATCTTCTTGGATTAAAGTAACTTATTTACAGCAGATGTATCATTGAAGATCGTTATCATTGGATTAAATCGACTATCACTGCGCAGACCCATGCCTCGCAATCAACCAAGAATATAGTCTAAGAGAAACAGCTGACTCCAGCACAAATGGATATCCCCTTCTCTTCTTCATCCTGTCAGTGCAGTACCATCTGTCATACTGCTTGTATGTCCAGTCCTCGCTAGATAAGTAAGGAAAACAGTTCCGTATCATGCCATGCGTTCAGAACAGAAAATGGAAAACAAAAAATGGTTAAGTAAAAAAAGAAGCCGGAGAAATTAAATGATTAAAGCAAAGCAAATTCCTTTCCCATTTTTTAAGCAGAACCGAACTCCTTGATATCGGTCTTCTTGCCCAGGAGAGCAAGAGGGACGATACCACTGACGTGCATATCAGGACCGTACACGTGCATCTTGAGACCCAGCTCCTCACCAACGGCCTTGATGTTCTTGAGACCCTCCTGGTAGTTGGGACCAGCACGACGAACCCAGATTTGGACGTTGTGCTCGTTGAGAACAGGAGCGACCTCGCGGATCGCACGGATGACACCCTTGAACGTCGAGGCGACGTTGGTGAAGTTGGCAATACCACCACCGATGAAGAGAACCTTGCCATCAGGGTGCATAGGTGCGCGCAGCATCAAGTCCAGAACGGTCTTGGCATAGTTGTAGGTCTGAGTCTCGGTGGGAGCACCGGAGTACTCACCGTAGTTGGCAAGCTCGCTGACGAAACCAGCGGAGGCAATGGCATCGGCGTACACGACGGAGGCACCACCACCAGCGACCAGAGTCCAGATACGGCCATTGGCATTGAGCACTGTCAGCTTGAGAGAAGCACCGGTCTTGGCATCCATGTCGGAGATGAACTTCTCCTCCTTGCTCAGCTCACGACCGAAGGGAGCGGGGAACTCCATTGGTGGGCCAGCATCAATGTTGACCTTGCCGTCTGCCTGGGGAACGGTGGCCAGGCCAAGGTTGGCGGGGCTGCGGGCAATAGCCCACTTGGTACCGCACTCGAACTCAGCAGTCTGGTCAAGCTTGGCGGCAAGATCAAGGAAGTGCACCTCGGCGGAGGTACCCTCGGCGTTGGGAATGACAACCAGAGGGTTGATCTCAAGGTAGGTGAACTGGCAGTCAACATAGACGGCGTAGAGGCGGGAGATGAAATCAACCAGGACATTGTGAACGCCCTTGGGCACCTTGCTCAAGAGGGCAGCAGCAATCTCCTCGTTGGAGGGGTAGTTCTTCAGGTTCACGGGGATAAGAAGCTTCTCGGCCTTGGCATCAACATCACCAACGTCGACACCACCCTCGTGGGTGAAGAGGATCCAGTCACCCTGGTCAGTTCATTAGTCTTCGAGAACGGTCGGAAATTCCAGCTTGAGAATCGGACGAAGTCGCTTACCTCACGCACGGAGTTGATGTTGATGTAGTACTCAGTCTCCTGAGGGTGAGGAACGAAAGGCTCAACCAGGAACTGGCGGAGAACACCGGTGACAGTCTCAACCTTGATCTCCTTGCCAGCACGAGCCTCAATCCACTCCCTGGCCTCGGCCCAAGTCTTGTTCAGAGCGAGCAGACCGCTCTTACCCCGTCTCTTAATCAATTGATCTGGCTTAGCGACGAACTTGGCGCCGGGAGTCAGCAGCCACGGGAAGACGACCTCCGTCTGGTCCAAGACATCCTTCACAGCGGCGTCTTCGGGGAAGTAGATGGAGGCAAGTCTGGGAGGAGGGTTGTGGGTGGAGGAAGGAGGGAGAGGAGTCGGCTTGATGACAGGAGCCCGGGTGAGGTGGTAGTTGAGGATGGCCTTGCCATCAGCTTCGAGAATCGATTTGGCGGACATGATGACAGAACTGGAGGATCAGAGAGGAGGATAAATAGAGAAAAAGGTCCTGATGATGGAGGAGAGGTTGTATGTAGAGAAGGGAACGAGACCCCGGATCAAGAGGAGGATTTAACAGAGAGATAGAGAAGAGGAGGATGGGATGATACTGTTTTGCAGAGATCGGCAGGCAATTCACCCTGCAGGAAGTGATTGTTGGAATTGAAGTGGGAGAGGAGGAAGGAGAGGATGAAATGGATGAATTGAAGAGGAGAGGAGGAGAAAGAGGAGGGGATTCAGCGAGAGCGGACGATTGACTTGAGTCCTCTAAGTAAATGGCCAGAAGGACTTTTGGAGGGGGGAAATAGAGGCTTTTTTTTTTTTGGGAGCTGATGCAAAATTACACGGTCAGGTACGGTATTGAGGCCGAGCTCGGGGGAGGACCAGATCCGGAGAGGGATCAGACTCAGAGATACAGAGTACGATACAGCATAGCAGGCTTAGACGCCCCGAGTTGTTGAGATTTAGTGGGGAAGCAGGAGAGTGGGTACAGCCAAAAGAAGTTCCAGGTGTCATCCGCGGACCGATCAAATTTAGCTCCCACAGTCTCCAGCGAGGTTTTAGAGCTTCCGTTGGGGATACTCGGGAAGGGTATTTAGAGGCAGGACACACCCTACGCTGTAGCCTCAATACTGAATTCCAGCAAAAGGAGGGATCAGACATCGGACGGCAACCCCCGGGGTCATTTGCGCATCGTGTCGCTTTTTTGTTGGGTTATGGACAGCTACCTATCTAATAATTCATTTTCGTAGATTGTCTACGAATTTCTGCGTGAGACCCGATGCCTTCACATACTCTCGACTGCGTTGATATCGATTCTATCAGATAGATTGTAGAATCCATTCACATACGGTTACCTCTGTACAGAAACCATGTACTTAACAGAAAGGCACATGGAAACAAACCCATTCAAGTCCATACTCAAGCGGTCACCACCGCAACTTGTTATCTACAGGTAGACCGTAGATAGTCAGTCCATGATGACAACACTGATCTTTCGGTGAGCAGATCACTAGGTAGCGTCCGGCGGTTGGAGCCTTAGGCCGGAGGGGCTCTCCTGTCTGCTGGGTCCAAATTACAAGAGGATCCACCGCTTAGCCCCAACCAAGCTACTTTGGTTTCCTCTGCAACGTTCTTTTGCCGGTTGGATATCCAGGTACAGAATCTACCGAGTACTCCGGAGTCCGGCTCCATCCATCTTGTTAGGCATACACGATTCTGCTTGACTCCTGAGATGATGAGGGATATTCCACGCATGATCAGTTCATTCACCCGAGGGAATCATAAGAAGTCCTGTGTTGAGATAGATAGGTAGTAACTCCAGTAGCAACCAGACGACGCTCTTCCATAGATCCTATACACTTATCTCCAAGGAACTCAACTCCGCACTCTATGATGCATGGTATCTATCGCGCATTTCGAAAAGTCAATCACCTTGCATCTTGTTGAGCATTAGACTACTAGTGGCCACTCCAAATCAGCAGATACGATTCTTGGAAATTGATCAATTATTTTTAGGCAAGCAACGCAATTACATCCCCAACTGGTTGTCCCCTCCTGGACCCATCAGAAACCCCCCGAGGACAGCTTGTCGCGGTATTGTACCGATACAGTATCGTCCGGAAAGGTAAGCTCCCCCTCAGCTCCCCGATATCGTTGAATCCCCTCGTCAGATAATCCGGTCATTTTATTTTATTTTATTTTTTACGACGTCTGGTCCTTTTTTTTCTTGAGCCCGTCTTTTTTCCATCATCAGAATAAACCACCCCCCCCATAATCCCCTTTGATCCCAATCCCTCCATCTTCTTGCTCTGCTTCATCATTCTCCTCATCCCCCTCTTCCTCACTTGTGCATCTTCTCTCATCCTCCGTGGCTCTTGTTCCTTCCGAGTTGCATTTGACCGTCGAAGCGACTCATTCCTTCTATCTCCTCATCTTCTTATAACTTATCTACCTACCTAATAATACCCCTTCGTCCTTTTAAACCGATCTCAAAAAGCTCTGTTGACGGGTATGTCGGCATTCCAAGGTTCCTTGAACGAGGTGGAAAGCGTCGTCTCTGTGTCTTTCGAGCTCTTCGCATTGCATCCGACTGTCTTTTCCTGACCCGGTGCTGATCAATTCGTTGAGAAACAGAGTAATCAGCCATCATGCCCTCGACTGCTCCTCTTGCCACCGCCGCCAATGGCGGTCTCAACGCCAACGACAACATCACTCGTTTCGAGCCTCCCAGCCGAGTGCTCTCTCCTCTCACCCACTCCCTCTTCCACAACAAGACGAGATGCTTCGTATAGTAAGTGATTGCGGGCTGCAGACAGGGTCAATGGCCGGAGCTGACGCCAATCATAGCGGTATGCAGCCCAGAGCTGTGCAAGGCATGCTCGACTTCGACTTCATTTGCAAGCGTAGCACGCCTTCTGTTGCTGGTATCATCTACACTTTTGGCGGCCAGTTCGTCAGCAAGATGTATGGATAACACCTCCCTCCGCTACGGTATTTCTATCAACAGCTGCTGACTCTGGAATCACAGGTACTGGGGTACCAGCGAGACTCTCCTTCCTGTCTACCAGGATGTCGCCAAAGCCATGGCCAAGCACCCTGACGTTGACACCGTCGTGAACTTCGCCTCCTCTCGTTCTGTCTACAGCTCCACCATGGAGTTGATGCAGTGCCCTCAGATTAAGTCCATCGCTATCATCGCCGAGGGTGTCCCCGAGAGAGTATGTCTCGCTTACATCTACACGCATAGAGTAAAGAGGCTAACAATGGGAACAGCGTGCTCGTGAGATCATGGTTACTGCCAAGGAGAAGGGTATCACCATCATTGGTCCTGCTACCGTTGGTGGTATCAAGCCTGGTGCTTTCAAGATCGGTAACACTGGTGGTATGATGGACAACATTGTTGCTTCGAAGCTCTACCGCAAGGGTTCCGTCGGCTATGTTTCCAAGTCCGGCGGTATGTCCAACGAATTGAACAACATCATTTCTCAGACCACCGATGGTGTCCACGAGGGTATCGCCATTGGTGGTGACCGCTACCCCGGTACCACTTTTATCGATCACCTGCTGCGTTACCAGGCCGATCCTGATTGCAAGATCCTCCTCTTGCTCGGTGAGGTCGGTGGTGTTGAGGAGTACCGTGTCATTGAAGCCGTGAAGAACGGCACCATCACCAAGCCTATTGTCGCCTGGGCCATCGGTACCTGCGCCAGCATGTTCAAGACTGAGGTTCAGTTCGGTCACGCTGGTGCCTCGGCTAACTCCCAGCTTGAGACCGCTGTGTACAAGAACAAGGCCATGAGAGAGGCCGGTATCCACGTTCCCGACACATTCGAGGAGCTTCCTCAGCTCCTCAAGCAGGTGTACGATGATCAGGTCAAGAAGGGTATCATCAAGCCCCAGCCCGAACCCCAGGTTCCCAAGATCCCCATCGACTACTCCTGGGCCCAGGAGTTGGGTCTCATCCGTAAGCCCGCTGCCTTCATTTCCACCATCACCGACGACCGTGGCCAGGAGCTCCTGTACGCCGGAATGCCCATCTCCGACGTTTTCAGAGAGGATATTGGCATTGGTGGTGTCATGTCCCTTCTGTGGTTCCGTCGCCGTTTGCCTCGCTATGCCAGCAAGTTTCTGGAGATGGTTCTCATGCTTACTGCTGACCACGGTCCGGCCGTGTCTGGTGCCATGAACACCATCATCACTACCCGTGCAGGCAAGGATCTGATCAGCGCCCTGGTCTCTGGTCTCCTGACCATCGGATCTCGCTTCGGTGGTGCTCTTGACGGTGCCGCTGAGGAGTTTACCAAGGCCTTCGACAAGGGCATGAGCCCTCGTGACTTTGTTGACACCATGAGAAAGGAGAACAAGCTGAGTATGTGACCATTCTAGATAACGAACATCTGTCGAGCAATTGCTGACCTCTGCATAGTCCCTGGTATTGGCCACCGCGTCAAGTCCCGGAACAACCCTGATCTGCGTGTCGAGTTGGTCAAGGAGTTCGTCAAGAAGCACTTCCCCAGCACCAAGCTCCTCGACTATGCCATCGCTGTCGAGACCGTCACCACCTCCAAGAAGGACAACCTCATTCTGAACGTCGATGGTTGCATTGCTGTCTGCTTCGTTGACCTGATGCGCAACTGCGGTGCTTTCTCGCCCGAGGAAGTTGAGGACTACATGAAAATGGGAGTTCTCAACGGTCTCTTCGTCCTTGGTCGCAGCATTGGTCTTATTGCTCACTACCTCGACCAGAAGAGACTGCGCACTGGTCTTTACAGACACCCCTGGGATGACATCACCTACCTGCTCCCCACCTTGCAGAAGGGTGGTGCCGAGGGTCGTGTTGAGGTTAACATTTAAGCTTTCTATTATCTCTCTTAATATTTCCCCCTTTTCCTTTTTCTCTTGTCGTTGCCGAACAGACCCGTGGCAGCCCACTGGATGATTCTGCGGAATTTGCGGTTTGACTCATAAAATCCGTCACATTGACGTTGGAGTTATGATGGCCTGTTTTTGCATTTGGTTCTGATTCTTCTCATTTGACACTATTTTTCAACTTTACATTCTGTATTGCGCATATGTGGCATGACTAGCTGATAGGCTAATGAATTCAACGCAAGAATTGAGACAGAAACATACCTTTTAGACATCCCGAAGCTTTGATGAGATTGACTGCCCAAATTTGTGATCAACATTGCTTTTCACGTACTACAGTATGCCAGATTGTCTTACGCCCTTGCAAAATACCCTCTGCTTCTTTCCCGGTTCACAATAATGTCTTGAATCTTCAAACTCCTGAGAGCAGCCGAGCATCACTTCGGAGACCGAGGGCTTGTAATGTCGCAGCCCGAGCCTCTACAGGTAGTTTTTTGCTCGGCAATTACGTAGATAGAGAGCGGCATGCTCTTCTCTTTTGCGTGGAGTTAGGTAATACACTAACAAAAATCAATTCACATAATTGTCGGAATATCTCTTGCAATCGAGACGCTGGCACTGTAAAATAGAGCATGTTGATATTCATAATTCAAGTATTCGGATTCTAAACTTCCCCACCAGTAATTGGTCCGAGCTCCTTCTATCAAAAGTTTATCGATATCGCGACAGTCGACTCAAGTTACAAGACTTGATATACTGAACCCGATCTCAAAATTCCCAAACGCTCAAGCACAGCATAAGGCTTCCCTTGCGATTACTGCAACGAATTAACGTACGCATACACGAAGAACTAGAGATCCGAGAACATCAACAAGACAACACAAAATGGTCCGCGTCAAACATCGCTACCTCCTCCTCGACATCCTCTACCCAGAACCCTCCTCCTGGCCCACCTCCTCAACAGCCAAAACAAAATCGCCCTCGCCCTCGCAAGCTGATGCTCAGGTCCGGATCCACTCGCCCACCTCGGATGCGCTGACGCCCGCCCTACTCGCGAAGATGGTGAGGGAGGAAGTCGCGGAGATTTTCGGGGATTGGGGTGTTGGCCGGCTGGGTGGGGTTGGGGCCGGTGGTGTTAGTGGTGCGTTTACCTCGTTTTTTCCTGTGTTGTGATGCTTGGTTTTGGTTTTTGACGTGAGCGGATAGTCAAGTATCTGTCGCCTGCTACATCGACGGCTATCATCCGGTGTCCTCGCGCATCGTTCCGTCTCGTCTGGACGGCTCTTACGTATATGTCGCAAGTACCGGATTTCAGTAATGGGGGGATGAAGAGGGCCGCTCCTGGGGCTGCGGGGAAGATGCGGTCGTGTGTGTTTCGTGTTGTGAAGGTGTCTGGGACGATGAGGAAGGCGGAGGAGGAGGCGATTCGGCGGGCGCGCAGGGAGATCTCGCGGCTGAAGGGGGCGGATGAGATGGGGGTTTTGGAA